AAGAATTCCCAATATGGTAACTCCCAAAATATAGAGTTCTTTTTCCACATCGCCGCGTGACTATCTTCGCTCTCTATATGCTAGCTTCCAGGCCCCTTTCCGAACACTACTTTAAGATCTTTAACCATAGCAAACACTGTTTTCCCGCTGCGATGTTTAGGCTTCGTACGGTGGTCGGCCTTATGTTCGAAGTGCTTGCCTTTCTTCCATACCGGGTGGTTTGCTGCAAGGAATCGACGATGACCCATGTATACAACCTTCCTACAGTGCTTAAGATACGTACTTTCTGTTTCATCCATACAGTGAGTGCAAGCCTTGTACCCCTTATTGGACTGTCCGGATAGGTTGCTAAGTGCAGGCCAATCGTTGATGGTTACGAACAGCAGCGCTCGTAGGTTAAACTCCTCCTGTTTGTCCTCGTCCCACACGGGGACACCTTCCTTCTTCCACAACTGTTTAAGATCTTCGACCAGTGGTCTTAGGTACACGTCGATGTCGTTACCAGGTTGCTTGGGGCCTTGAATAATAATCGGCATCATTATGTACTTTCTCTTCATGCATAGCCAGGGGGGGAGGTTGTAGATACACATCGTAACGGGCCAAGTGCTATGGCCGCTGCTCATCTCTCCAAAAGGATTCATGCCATCCGTACTCAAACCAAACTGTATGTTTCGTGCGTCCTTTCCAAATTCTTTAAATTTTCTGTCGATGTTTCGCCACTACGAACCATCGGCGGGGTGTCTCAGCATCCCGTCCTGTTGACGCTCTTCAGCGTGCCATCGCAACATTCTAGCATTCCCCTTGTTCCTGAACAAACGCCTTAGCCGTAGTATTATAGGGAAATACCACATCACCTTAGCAGGAATTCTCTTCTTTGTTAGCTGCCCGTCAACTTCTCCTGGATCGTCCCGTCTAATCTTTTATCGTAGTGCTTTGCAAACAGGGCATGCTTCTAGGTTCTCATACTCCTCACCGCAATATAGGATACAATCGTTCGGACATGCGTGAATCTTATGAACTTCCAGTCCTAACGGGCAGACTATCTTCTTAGCCTCGTACGTTGTCTCGGGCAATTTGTTTCCCCCCGGAAGAATGTTCTTGACGAGTTTCAATAAATCGCCAAATGCCTTGTCACTAACCCCATTTTTTGCCTTCCATTGCAACAACTCCAGAGTGGTATCCAACTTTTTGTGCCCCTGCTCGCAACCTGGGTACAACAAAGTTCTGTGGTCCTCCAACATCTTGTCCAATTTATGGGCCTCCTTTTCACTTTCGCAGTCCTCCCTGGCGTCCTGCAACATCTGACCAAGATCATCCGCAACGTCGTTACCATCAGCAGCTATTTCCTCCTCGCCCGTTTGATTTCCTTCAAATCCAACATACTGAGCAAAGTCCGGAATATTGTCGTCTTCCACTTCATCTTCTTCCATTTCAACACCTTGCTCTCCGTGGGATGTCCAACAATTATAGCTTGGCATGAACCCCGACTCAAACAAGTGGAAATGAATAGTCCTGGATGCAGAATACTCCTTCTGATTCTTACACTTATTGCATGGACAACAAATAAAACCCCTTTGCCTGTTAGCTTCGGCCACTCTCAAAAAATAGTGCACGCCGTCAATAAACTCTTTGGACCGCCGGTCAGCGTACATCCATTGCCGATCCATCTACATGAGTCAAAAAAACCGTACACAAATAATTATTCTTACAATAATGACAGTCATACAATAATTATAAGATATCTTTATTCATACAAAAATCATAAAATATTACACCAAATAATTCTTAAAAACTATTTGTAAAGTTTTAAACTAATTTTAATGTGTTTTACTTCTTTTAATTTTCATTTTAGTTTGTTTTCTATTATTTAAGATTAACTTTCACTAGAGTTTTCCTTCTCAACTATTTTATAAAACCTTGTTTAGCAAATGAACTAAATTTCTATATATTCTTTCTTCCCCACACACATTTTCTCTCTCATCAACTTACAACTAAATTTTGGAGACAAAAAAAAGTGTGCAAAACATAGGTGCAAATGTAGTATGACAAAAAAAACATTGGAGGATGAAGTTGCAAACCTTTTAGGCACCTCCGATTTGTATGTAATCACCAAAATAAATTCAATAGAAATTTTGGCATGACCTCCCCTCTTTTTTGAAGAAATTTTGAAGCTTGCTCGGGCAGCTGGAGGAGGAAGAAGACATATATATAGGAGTGGGACTTTAGTCCCGGTTGGTAGCACCAACCGGGGCTAAAGATCACCGGGATCTTTAGTCCCGGTTGGTGCTACCAACCGGGACTAAAGTTACGATCTTTAGTCCCGGTTGGTGTTACCAACCGGGACTAAAGATCCCGGGGGGGCCTGACAAGCCCTGACAGCATTCGAACCGTAGTCCCGGTTGGTAACACAAACCGGGACTAAAGATCAAATATGCCCGTTACCCTTTTGAACCGGGACTAAAGATCATCTTTAGCCCCGGTTTTTATTGCATCCGAGACTATTGTGGAAATCGGCCGACCGACGAAAGATGGTTTCTCCACCAGTGCATTAAGCACCAAGATCGATGTAAAAAAAAGAGAGATGTGTGTAGTCATATGATCAAATTAATTTACTTACCTAGTATGCATATGTTATAGTCAGATGTTGCTTTTACAGTTACCGATACTGTATTTTTTATATCGAATTCTAGAAGCAGAAGAAAAATACTATACTAGAAAGTGCTGATCTCTACAAGGGACATACATCTGGGAACTATGAAGGAAGATTAGTTCGAGCAATCCGATGAATGGCAGTACCTCATCATATACATATTTAAGATATATATTCAGTTAAGTGCATCCATTGGGAGGTTTTGTTATGCAACAGGGGCATAATAGAATATCCAGCTAGCTGGCATGGTACATGCATGTAGGTGCATCATATCTACTTTTTATATCAGCCTTTGTTCAGCCCTTTCACTGGAACTAATTATAAATTAATCACAACCTTGTACTGATCCGCTGGTAACGACGTATATATACTATTGAATACGCGTGTAATTTGTTCATACGGTTGGTAACGATGTATACCATTTAATATGTATAAATAGTACGGAGTACACCTGAATACTACAGTACCTGTGTAGTTGGAATCTCAGGACCACATCTTAAGCCCCACCTATATATGTTTCACTTGTGATGTAGTATAAGTTCAACAACTCTTTATGGGAAAAAAAAGTAATAACCACTCACACTGTCTCTACAAGATTGTTGTCTTATTTTCTTTTACGTTAGCTTTGGTTCAGCCGCTTCAGTTAATGGAACTTTCTATATCAACAGTGAGTAACGAGGCAGTCCATTGAATTTGTAGTATTGTAGAAATAGTACATCTAACCTATGCTATTGGATTATATTGGTACAGTTCATTGAATTTTCAACTTCACATGTTAAATGTATTATTTCTATCAGGTTATTGATACGTGTATACTATTATTATATGGATGGCATTAGCAACGAGGCGGTTCATTAAAATTATCGAAATAGTACATTGAGCATGTGAAGTTTGAATCTTATGAGCACATATATTTTACTTGCAGGGTCTTTGTAAACAATCTTGTTTACTCTTTTATGCTAGCTTAATTTAGTTCGGGCGCTTCGTGGAACTAATTCTAAGCCGAGATACTGTTCTTCGTCCTTCAAGGTGATCTAATAATTTTGACATGATACGCATACTTGTACCGTACCAGCTAGTAGGTTGGTGTATTCTAAGGATCGCGCTTAGAGGGACGTGGGTCACTGATATGTGGGCTCAGCCTTTGTGGGTCCCACATGTCAGTGACAAAGTCCCTCTAACTTTACGTCGGAGGAGACTCATCGGTATTCTAATATGCCTGTTAACCAACCTCCCTATGGACATGCAATTAATTGAATATATATATATATAGTACGGAGTAGATCTTAAAATATGTACTGCACACTACGACTCATCAGATTGCTCGAACTAGTTAATACTAATAGTACCATACATGTATGATGCATGTCACATGCAGCTGAGAGCCAGAGATCAGTACTTCTATATTTTTTTTCTTCTTCTTCTAGAATTCAATATAAAAAATGCAGTACTTGGTAACTGTAAGAACAACATCTGATTAGATGAATATTTGAATGGGTAGTGATTAGTAAATTAATCTTGTCCTACGAATACATCTTTTTCTATGTATACATTGATCTTGGTGTTTGATGGACCTCCTATATAGTGGTAGTAGCTAGAATAGCACCCATGCTTGGGATGGAACATGAAAATTTTTACGCCCCAATTTTGTTTATCGATAATTCGTCATGTTCTACTAGCTAGCAGAATCTAGCAACATATAGACTCCTTCCTCTTTTGTCCTTTTCTTTTAGATGCCTTGAATTTGTAGAGATTGTACATCTAGCATGTGCAGTTAGATTACTGATGCAGTTCGTTTAATTTCCAACTCTACATGCTAAAAGGAATATATACTCATCCGGTTGATGTCATTTATTGGGGTTGTCATCAATTTAGAATTACTTCAATGAATAGACCAAATTAAATCTGACACAAAAGAGTAAAATGTACCTACATATATAGGTTCATCGGTGGTTATTACTTTTTTTTTTGAAAAATATGAATCTATCTTGCTGTGGTTTTCACGATTTCTTCTGAAACTCGGCCTTATCTATATAAACTTTCATCTACCAATCTATTTCTTTTCTTAACCGAATCTGCTAAAAAACTATACCAAATTCTGGTGTTAACTATACCAATTGATTTTTCCAAGTTAACTATTTTAATGGAGCACATTACCCCAAGCTTTCCATCATATTTTTTTAAGCGTGACACAAATAATCAAGCGGATAAACTTTTCGGAAGAGTGACAAGTATAATATGTTTAAGATAAATTAAATGCAGTCATTAGTTTCGAATGGGTCTTATTAAGTTTGGGAGTAGGTGAATTTTGGAGCGTGGCACTATAAATGAAACGAAAAGGTACACCCTATCCAACATAAAGTACAATTTAATTTCTCAATAAATTAAAAAAAATAAGGAGCTACACACATTACTATCTTGACGTACGATGGATAGCATATGTAGCAACAGAGGCAACAAAAATTAAGAGGAGGCTTTGATGAGTACATGAATGAAAGAGAGATTTTTCTATACAGAGTACAGGTAAAATTAGAATACAATAGCACTAGCTAGTTTCTTTTTGCTTTTTCATAGCTGTTAAACTCCGGCCAGAACAAATCCATAGCTGGTATTCGATCTCGGACTGTTCCCTCTTGGATACTAGTGCTGGTTCGGCCGCAGCTAGAGCAACTGATGGCGTCGTCAGGAGCAGCGTGGACAACGACAATGTTTTCACTGCTCCCGTGTGCCTCAATATTCGGTACCTCCTTATCGCCCTCAGTGATGAGAAGGCTGATCGGCCGGTTGGGATGCTGCCTTGCTTCTTTCTTCACGACGTCAATGGCAGCCTTGATGCCAGGGTTGTCGCTCTTGTACCATTTGGAGCAGCGAAAGACCACCTTTTGGAGGCTCTTGAGGTGGGTGATTCCTATGGGATCTTTGCTTGGTGGGCCAGCGTAGAACTTAAACTCGAGATGCTTGAGCTTGGGCATGGCTCCTTCCTGGAAGGTTATCCGTGGCACCCGGCTCTCCACAAGGAATCTCTCCAGCATCTGGAAGCCTGTGCGGTTAATGATGATGGGCTCTCTTTGTGGGGCCTCGAACCTCAGTACAAGCATCTGGAGGTTAGGCATATTGTTGGCTAGAAACTCATGGTCATCCTCCTCTAGCTTGTTGTACCGCCTGATGTCTAGGGAAGAAAGAACATTGAAATGATCTTTGATCAGCTTCGGGATACTCTTGTGCAAGCCAATAACCTTGAATATGCCAATAGGGGGAGATCCTAAACGATCGACAATATTGATGGATAGGACCTCACTGCACTTTGCGAGCTCAGCCTTGGGAATACCCTTGATCAGATCTTCGCATACGCCTTCTGGCAGCCGCATGCCCTCGTCACTGTCATCTGTATGCACGTGCAGCGATCCCGAGATCTGGCCAGCTTGCCATGGCAGCTCTCTCACCCCCGTGTTCCTCACATCCAGAGTCCGCAGATGCTTCAGCTCCCCGATTTGCGATGGCAGCTCTCTCACTGACGTGTTCCTCACATCCAGAGTTTGTAGATGCTTCAGCTCCCCGATTTGCGACGGCAGCTCGCTGATATTCCACATGTTACTCACGTCCAGAGTCCGCAGATGTTTGAGCTCCCCGATCTGCGACGGGAGCTCGCTGATCCGCGTGTTCCTCACGTCCAGAGTCCGCAGTTGTTTCAATTCCCCGATCTCCCATGGGAGCTCTTCGATGCCTGTGCTCCTCACGTACAAAATCTCCAGTTGCTTCAGCTTCTGTATCTCCTGTGGGAGCTTAGTGATTCGCGTACCCTTGAGACCTAGGTACTTGAGCAGCCTGAGGCTCTCTAGCTGCTCACATATCTTCTTCAGGTGGGAGTCCTCTATACCGATATTATCTTCAAGGTCCAACACTCGCAATCTTTTAAACATATCCAAGGGGACTCCTATCACGTCGCCAAGGATGACAAGGCTGCGAGTGTGTGACACATCCATACTTGAGAAGCATTTCATTGGGTACCCCCTTTGAAGACAAAGCCGGCGAATCGCCATTGTTGGAGAGGAGTAGGATAGAGATGCACTAGTACAAGTATCAGATCCCGTACCCAAACAAGTTACAAAATTGTACTCCTTCGATTTGTATCTAAGGATGGCCAGCATCATAGGGTGGATCTCATACTCGTTCAACCCTCTATGCTTCATCCATCCTCTGCCGACAAGCTCATCAAAGTAACCTTCTGCTGCTTTCTCTTCTGAAACAAATCCTTCAGCAATCCACCTTGTGACCAAACGGCCCCTTTGAACAATCCCACCATCAAGCCAATGGTACACACTACAACATAACAACAAAGTCCTCAGATAGAGAGGAAGATGGTCGTAACCAAGGCATAAACTCTCTGCCAATGGCTTCAAGGATGGGATGTCCAAAATACCATCCTCTACCCGTCTCAGAGCCCTCCATATTTGCCGTTCATCACTGTCTAAAGCTTGTATCTCTTCTGCCAATGCTGACGACACACGAATTAGTGCTAACGGCATACCATAGCACATGTCCACGATATCATAGCATGGATTAATGTTCATACATGTGACAGACTTTCTTGCTACCTTGTCACACAACAACCAAGCATCCACATAATCCAGAGCCTCAGTTTCATAAACAAACGCATCCATGTCATCATTGCGACACTTCTCAGCTATTGAATTAAGACGAGTAGTCATGATTATTCTGCTACCCAGATCATTCTTTGGAATGGACTTTCTGATGACTTCCCACTCTTCCCAGTGCCAAACGTCATCAATTATAATAAGATACCTTCAGAAGTTGAAAAAAAGTAAATAAGCCTCAATATATTAGCACTAATACATGCAACTATATAATAATTTCGAAGATATGAGTCCACCCACATGAGAAGCTTCCCCTTTGAGATGATCGAAAAACAATCAGCTTAATTTGATGTCTGTTTGTCATCTACTCTCTTTTAAAAACACGAATATTAGGGAAGGATTTAATATCAAATAAATAGCGAATATTAGGGAAAGACCTAATATTAAATAAATAGGTAGGGGTGAGGCTTCAAACATAGATTGGCTTGTGGAGCTAGCCAGAAGAACCCCTGGGTATTTCTCATCTACTCTCTTTTTATAGAAATTCTAATTAAGACCATCCTGCAGAATTTGATATCAAATATTTTTTATTAATTTCTCTTAAAACATATTTTTATTAATTCCATCAAATACACATCAACATGTTTGTTAATTTTTTTTTAAAAAAAAATATTATTATTTAAAATAACATCATTCTAAAGAACTCTGCTTACTTTTTGCCAATGAGATAAGCTGATATATTGTCAATGAGATACTGTTGGTGCGGTGTTCCGGTCCCACAATATGGTGTTGCATCATCATTATATGCTCCTACTTGCAATAAAATATCAGTAAGAGTGTCGGTGAGATTGGCACCCGGAGAGAGTGACACGAAAGCCCGGTGTTGGAATTGCTGCTCTGTCGTTGAGTGATGGGAGTACAACAGTTTTGCAAGAGTTGTTTTGCCTGCGCCAGGCAATCCAAGGATGCATATTGTTTTGACCTCGTGAAATTCACAAGGCTTCGTCGCCTCCTCTACCCTTTTTCTCTTATCCTCGACCTGCACCAACTGGGCGCGGCCCACCTTATTCCGGAGGGTGGACAAGAGCTTGCGGATGTTCGCGCCTTCACCATCCAACCGCAACGTATCTCCACACAAACTTCCCGAACGCAATCGTTCAAACGAATCACTCGCCCATATAAATGGACTGTTCCGATTGTCCGGGAAGCCCCACTCTCTTTCCGGCACCTTGACCACAGTACTTTGCTGCAGCAAAAAACATTAGTTGATCATCGAACCATTCTGTTACTGCAGTCTACGGGAATAAGACACTCCAATTTAATGGGTTGTGTTTTTGTTTTGTCAAATCAATCTTTTTTCTCATGTATCGTTCACTTTTTACTACGCTAGCTGATCCATATCCAATAAAATTTTTATCTAAAATTAATCTAGAAAAGAAATAAAGCAATTAAGAAGTTGCATATCATATTATACCTTTTTTTAAGAAAAAAAAGGAATCCAATAATGATGATGAATGGTAAACTGGCATACTACCGTCCAGCACAATTACCAAGTAAGACCTCTTACCAAGTAATGAGTAGGTGGGTTCCTATATATGTTTATATACTCCTTTTAAAAAAATGCAATGGTGGTGGCAGTGAATCTATCATCGCCCCATCATCAAGTATAGTATTTTTTTTCTATTTACCACATACTCCATCATATTTTCAACCAAATACCCCCACATACTTTAATGTTTTATTCTACATATATGATTCCATCATATTTCACTTGTACAATATAACTTCTACAAGATAAAATTCTATATTCCTTTCAAAAGAGGGCAATGGCGGTGGCAGTGAATCTGCCACCAACTATAGTATTTTTTTTATTTACCACATTCTCCATCATATTTTCAACCAACTTTACCGTTATAAAATAATTTCTCTATGATATAACTTCTACAAAACCAAATTAATTGCCCCAAAAATCTCACTATTAATTTGTTTTAATACGTAGAAAATAACGGGTATTTGGCTAGTATAGTAGTATGTGCCAATTGTGTAGCTGAATTGGTAGCTTGTGTAGCTTAATTATAAGCAATTGTAAAAAAAAATGAGCAAATTGTGTAGCTGAATTATACATTGTAAAAAAATGATGCCAAATATTGATTAAAACAGGAATACTTGCATTATAATTTTTGGGGCTTAATTTAGAGTTTACGGTAGGGTTCGCTTTTAAAATTTCATCACAACGAATGGGTATTTCAGCTTTGCCTCCATCCTCATGCAAGTGCACTTCTAGCACTAGGAAAGGATGAAATTACTACTGAAATAAAATGGTATAAATGTCCCTCATTAAATGAGGTATAATTAATAATTGGAATTTGGAAAGAAAGAATAACATGGGAATGGAAAGATATATGATATATCTGGAAGCTAGAGACGTACAACACAAAATATACTGAACGGGAGATCGAATACGATACGAAGATAGCCACGACGTACCAAAATACACACAGCGAAAACATTTTAAATTTTTATAATATAATATAATATAATATATAAATAGAGAAGTAGAGATAAAAAAGAAATAAAAGGATGTCGTCTTTACCTCCTTATCATGCCATGGTGTTGCGATGCGCCACCGGGAAGCATATATGCTTGTGTCCGCACCTTGTTCCAGCAATTTGATGAGCTCTTTCTCATGTTGTTTGTCCATCTCCACGAGCTCTGACACATCCATCATGTTGTGGACGAAGCGAGCGTGAGGAGGTGGACAGTCTACGGTTGCGGCGGTTAGGGATGGTTGATGTTGCTCCACCGGTGGCCTCCACCGCCGGCTGTCGGAGAACCGCTTGGAGACATCCTCAACTCTTGTCTTGAGCTCATCGAAAGGGCCACCGTCGCCGCCCGCCATGGGCTCCTCTAAGAAGAATTCGTCGATGGCGTCGTCCATGTCGTAGGACAGCTCACGCACCTCCGCCATCAACTCATCCTTGCACAAAGCATCGACTTCCTCCCCCGTCATTCCCCAACTAATCCTCGGGAGGAGGAGAGAGTGCACGGCCTCCAGCTGGGACCTGATGAACATGGCGTCGCTCCGGGTCCTCTCCGCAAGATCCAAGTGCTCGTCGCCCAGCAAAGCGGAGAGCTTCGATAGGACGGGAGCCAAGGCCCCCGTGGCGACGCTGTATACGGCCATGGGAGCCGCTCGCCACCGCCTCGCACTGATTTTGGGTCGGTGGTCTCTCACTAATAGTTAGCTATAGGTGCTGCTTGTGGACTGGTGGTCACTAGGGTAGGGTGGATTGCGAGTTAAGTGAGCATCCGATGATTGTTTTTATCTTAGTGCCAAACCAGCGCCCGCCTGCACCAACTTAGAGCAGCTAAATAAAATATACTAATAAGAAGATGAGACTTTATATATAGATGCAATGCTATTTCTATAACTTTTGGTGTATATGAGAAGCTATTATGCACAGGATTAAGATGTTCTAAAGTAGCTTTTCACTTCGCACAGAAAGCGAGGTAGCTCATTAACATATGATTAATTAAGTATTGGCTAAAAAACTTTAAAAATAGATTAATATGATTTTCTGCAGTAACTATTCTATAGAATTTTTTTTTAAAAAAAAGTATCGTTTAGCAGTTCGTGAAACGTGCTCGCGGAGCAAAAGTTGCGAAACGGGAGTTCCGAACTTTGCCATACCATCCATATTAGCTCCTAAGGTAGTTTGATGATGGCTTTGCATATTTTAGAAGCTTAAACGAATAATTTTAAATAACTAATATAATATATTTGCATATCATCAGTTATAAGTTATTAATTTATTTTTGTACAGTGATATCATACTATTATCATCTTGATACAATTGTTTGTAAGTAAGAGTTAATATGAAGCAAAAAGAAATATTTCAGTTAAAATTTTAATATATATATATATGTCCAAAGCTCAGACTCATCCAACTTATATATAAATTAGATAAAAATCACTATGCAAAATCATCTTATGGGGTTATATAAACGGTATTGTAAAGTTTAGGTTGGTTGAATATCTGGTTTTAAAGTTTAGAGTGCTAGACGAACTTCCATCCAAAGTTTAGGGGGTTATTTGGACTTTTTCCTAATAGTTAAGGGTTCTATTTTAACATAAAAATATTTTTAAGATTTATTTCAAATAGATCATTTAAAATAGACCCCTTTATAAGGACACCTGAACCGTAAACCATGGGCCGTTCTTTTTCCCCCTGTTTATTTTTCAGGGAGAAGTCCATGACCATGCGTCTGCACTCTACAGTACTGTAGGCCGCTGAGGCCTCCGCCCAAAACTTCTAGCTAGCTGCTGCGCTGCTCTCCTCTCTGTCCCTTTCGACGGCGGCTGCCCAAGCCTGTTCCCCCGTTGGCTTCTGTTCCATGGGTGCCCCGTGCCCATGCCCGGCCATCCCTCCAGTTTTACTTTCGTCTTGAGATCTCTTAGAGCTTCTGAAGAATCCTTGCCATGTTAGCCAGCCACCAGTTGATGTGTCTGCTGCCAAGATCTTCCGTGCTTTGCCAAGGTGAACAATCTTTTCACTCCTGGGCTTTTCCTTACTGCAAGCAATGAAGGTATAGGCACCATTATCTTTGAACCTTGGAGGAGGAAAAAAGTTGGGAGAGAAACAAGGATGTAGTGTTCATTTGATTGGGAGGGGTGCAGTTGGTAAAATTTCAGTGGAAGGAAAGTAACGCTTTTTACTGCTTGGTACATTTGCATAGGTTAGACAATTTATTTGCATGTTCACAGGAATTGGTCACACTCGATTTCAGTTTGTGTACTGTAAGTTATTATTTCTTACGAATATGCATGCATCAAAGAGGTATTGCGTAATAGAAGAATATTGATAGAGCATCTATAAGTTATAAAATTAGAAGAAAAAAAACATATTTACATGAGGTAGCACTGGACAAAAAGCGCTCCTGAAAATAAAATTACGTTCCAAGTATTATTAATAATGATTATTCATTCACTGTATGGTTTGGTTTTCGTTTTCATTTTTCTCCTTTTCCCTGGGCAGGCCAAGGAAACTCTCAGCTGGGGTTCAGTGCTTGATCTCAACGTACCGTGTGTGTGTCACTCACACTCTCCACTCCAGTGCTTGCAAGAGCTGAAAGTTGCAGTGAATTATTATACAGAAAACAAGATCGACGATGGAGTTGGCGGTAGGTGCTTCGGAAGCCACCATGAGATCTCTCCTGGGCAAGCTGGGCAACCTTCTTGCCCAGGAGTATTCTCTGGTCAGCGGCGTCCGTGGTGACATCCAGTACATCAATGACGAGCTTGCCAGCATGCAGGCCTTCCTCCGTGACCTTAGCGTTGTGACGGAGGGTCACAACCATGACAACCGGAGGAAGGACTGGATGAAGCAGATCCGAGACGTCGCCTATGACGTTGAGGACTGCATCGATGACTTTGCGCACCGGCTCCCCCAGGATTCAATCAGCGATGCCAAATGCTCCTTCATACTCACAAAAATGTATGAACTCTTGACATGGTGGCCTCGTCGCGATATTGCTTCGAGAATTGCTGAACTCAAGGTACGGGCGCAACAGATCGCGGATCGGCGCAACAGATATGGAGTGAACAACCCAGAACACTGTGACAGCAGCAACAGTCCCAGACCCAGAGCCCATGCTGCGGCTCAAGACATTGCTGAGTATCAGGACACAAAACCTCAGATCGTCAGTATAAAGGAGCCTGTGGGGATGAAGACTGTCATGGAAAACCTTGAGAAGTGGCTAACCGAACCTCAACCTGATAAGGGGCGAGCTGTTCTGTCCATTGTCGGTTTCGGTGGTGTGGGGAAGACCACCATTGCCATGGCATTGTACAGAAAAGTCAGTGGTAAATTTGACTGCCAGGCGTCAGTCGCTGTGTCTCAGAACTATGATGAAGACGAAGTCCTCAGGAGTATTCTGAATCAAGTCAGCAAACAGGAGGAGGCCGGTGGCAGCACAGAAAGTAGTAGTAGAGATGAGAACACCAGGGAACCCCAGGGCAGCAGTAGCACATCAAGTAGAGAGGAGAACACTGCCGAGTCAGGCACTAAAAGGATGTTGAACAAGTTGAAGAAAGCCCTACCACTGTCACTACTCGGAGGGAATGATGATAAGACATCGGTCAGGCAGCAGGAAACAATGGGCTCTCTTCAGCTCCGCGAAGAACTGAAACGGCGCCTGGCCGAAAAGAGGTACCCTGTTCGTAAACATTTGTTTTGCTCATATGCCAATTAACTTAATTGTAAATCCATATGTTTATTTCCTTCTACACACAACACCACACCAGTTTTTGAACGGTACTTTTCTTTTCTCTGATGTGTGCTCGTTTTCTTTTCATCATCTATACAGATATATCCTCTTGATTGATGATATTTGGTCTGCCAAGACATGGAACAGTATCATCATACCGTTTCTGCCTTCTGAAAATGATAAAGACAGCAGAATAATAGTGACTACAAGATTTCATGCTGTTGGTTCCACATGCTCCCCTAGACATAAAAATGATGAGGCCACATCCTCCCCTGGACATGGAAAGGATCTTTTGCATAAAGTTGATTTTCTCACAGGTGACAAGCCCCTAGATTTATTTAATGCAAGCATTCCTGACCCAATGAAAAGAACAGATAGAGACAAGAAGTTATCAAAGATATGTGGGGGATTGCCTTTGGCCATTGTCACCATGGCTGGTCTTGTAGCCTGCAACCCAAACAAAGCCAACTCCGATTGGAGTAAACTTTGCGAATCATTATTTCCATATCCAGTAACTACTCTTAACCTGGATGGGGTTACGAGGATACTGGATTGTTGTTACAATGATTTGCCTGCAGATCTCAAGACCTGCTTATTGTACTTGAGTATATTTCCAAAGGGTTGGAAAATTAGTAGGAAGCGGTTGGCCCGACGATGGATTGCTGAAGGTTTTGCTACTGAGAAGCAAGGGCTAACCGAAGAGGAAGTTGCAGAGGCATACTTTAATCAGCTCGCAAGAAGGAACTTAATACGCCCTGTGGAGCATGGCAGCAATGGGAAGGTAAAAGCCTTTCAAGTTCATGACATGGTTCTTGAATACATCATGTCGAAGTCAATCGAAGAGAATTTTATTACTGTGGTTGGTGGACACTGGCAGATGACTGCGCCAAGCAATAAAGTCCGTCGACTATCGTTGCAAAGCAGTGGATCCAAGCATGGAAATTCTACAAAAGGCCTGAACTTGGCTCAAGTGCGATCACTGACGGTGTTTGGGAACCTGAACCATGTTCCATTCCATTCATTCAACTATGGGATAATACAGGTGCTGGATCTTGAGGGTTGGAAGGGTTTGAAAGAGAGACATGTGACGGAGATATGTCAAATGCTTGTACTCAAGTATTTGAGCATCCGGCGGACAGAAATTGCCAAAATTCCCTCAAAGATTGAGAAACTTGAGTATTTGGAAACTCTTGACATAAGGGAGACATATGTCGAGGAGCTGCCTAAGTCTGTAGGCCAGCTAAAACGGATCAGTAGCATACTTGGGGGGAACAAAAATACACGGAAGGGGCTGAGGTTGCCTCAAGAAAAAAGAAATAAGGCAATGAAAAACCCGTCACCTCAAGGTAAAACAAAGGAGCCTGCAGAGAAAGGATTCTTGTCCCAAGAAAAAGCTAAAGGCACAATGAAGTCACTCCGTGTACTGTCAGGGATTGAGATCGTTGATGAATCAGCAGCAGTAGCTGCAAGCCTTCATCAGTTGACAGGACTAAGGAAGCTTGCCATATACAAGCTCAAAATAAGCGAGGAAAATGATACATTCAAAGAATTACTCTCCTCTATTGAGTACCTTGGCAGCTGCGGCCTGCAGACTCTGGCCATCAATGATGAGAATTCTAAATTTATCAACTCACTATACAACATGTCTGCACCTCCAAGATATCTAGTCTCCCTTGAGCTGTCCGGCAAGTTGAAATGGCTACCTGAGTGGATCACCAGCATTACTACTCTCAACAAGTTAACCATATCTATAACAGTTCTTACGACTGAAACTTTGGAGATCCTCCGCAATTTACCTTCATTGTTTTCCCTCACCTTTGCCTTTTCACTTAGTGCAGCGAAGCAAGATCAGGACACAGTAAAGGGCATCCTTGAGGACAATAAATTGGCCACTGACGGGGAAATCGTCATTCCAGCTAAAGAATTCAAGAGTCTTAAGCTGCTTCGCTTCTTTGCACCTTTCGTGCCAAAGCTCAGCTTTCCGGACAAGAGTGCAATGCCAGCACTCGAAATCATTGAAATGCGGTTTCAAGAATTTGAGGGTCTATTCGGCATCGAAATCCTTGAAAATCTCCGTGAGGTGCATCTCAAAGTTAGCGATGGGGCAGAAGCAATAACCAAGTTCCTAGTAAGTGATTTGAAGGATAATACTGAGAAACCAAAAGTATTTGTTGATGGCATCGTCACTGCATGAGAAGTTAAATTGTTGCAAATAGGAGAACTTGCCAATCATCTGATGCTGCCCCTCTATCATTACTCTCTTCTAATATATTTCTGTTTTTTTTTTGAAAGGATAATATATTTCTGTTATTACTCTCCTGGCTAAATAAAATAGGATGGCATGGAATATATGTTACCTCTTACCATGGTCCCGTAGTAGTTTGATTTCACTTGTCGTTATAGTGTCTGTTCATCTCTGTTTTCTCTTAATAAAGGGGAGATCCCAGCAAGAAACCATTCTGATCCTTTTATTTAGTTATTAAACTCTTTAAATGATGGGATAGCTATATTTATGGTGTCACAATTTCCATGAATACAATTTTTTTCTAGCCTTTGGCTGGTGAGCAGATTTGTACTGTCATTGGTCACAAACTATTGAAAACAGTTGATGGGCAATTGGGTCTCACTGTTAGTATAATTCTTGTTCTAGTTAGTCTTTTGGTTATGTTAGCTAGTTGGTAGCTGTCACTCAGTTTGATTTTCTTTTCCTGTGCACACTGCACAGCTGCTATTAGAGGTAGAGCAATTTGGATTTTACCCCTAGCTGAATACAGCAGCAGTAGAGGTCGGTTCAGCAACCCGACTTGACCATGTACTATATGTCTATATATATATATATCACCCATTCACTTGGAATGAAAGCTACAGCTTCAGAAAACTACTCTATTTTGCTTCAGCTCTCAGTCCTATTCTGCCTCTCGCCTACTCTGCTCCAGTTCAGAAACTTCACTCACCAAAGACCTAATGCTACTCTATTATTGGTGCCCAAAATTAGCCTTTACACTATGTTTACAGTTGTAAAACTTATGTTAATTTTGTGTATTAGTACTGTAATTTTGTGATTTTTGTGTCCAGTTCTATTTTTATTTGCCAGAATTTTGATTTCAAGGTATATCTGGAAAGCTTCAACCGGATTCGTTCTGTTTTTAATTTAATCAGCTAAACTTTTAACAGAATGCATGCACTAGTTTCTCCCGTTATCTTATCCAATATAACTATATTTTATGCCAATACAAATACTGGCAACTGGTGTCATTAACGTATAAATGGGTCGCCTACATAAAACCTGGCGAAGTTAGTTGGGTTGCCTAGAGTAACCTCAATAGATTAATGGGCCAGTTGGAGAAGGAGAGATAAAAAAGAAATCTAAATATGTGAGAAAACACTTGGCGAAACAGCCAACTCCAAAGACCAAAGGTATACTGTACCGTGCCACCTACTCGTTTGTCCCCGTTGCTTGTTCTGAATTGTGTAGCTGAAAATTTTGACTGCTTTTGTCATACTTATTTTGAAGTCGACAAAATTAAAGTTGGAGTCAGACCGTCAGTTTGACCAGCCCTACGGTGGCAATCAGACCAGCCTGGGGAAGGAAACATTGTCATTTCCAAATTCAACCATATTTTTCTATTTTCGCTTTAGGTGCTAAATTTAGATGTTAACGTCAACAAACAACTAGTTAATTATATCGCTGCAAGCAATTAACAAGTCTGAAATATCTCAAGTAAAGAGAGAGAGGGATCAGATTTCTCACAGATGAATGGTACTCGAAACCATCGAGAAGTGTGGTGAAGCATAACGAACGCGCTGTCGTCAGAGAGCAATCAGCAATGTCTGCCTAATTTCCGCACATCCAATCCTCGATGGATGCCAATGAAGAACCAGCACTTGGCTTCAAGCACAGGAACCTGAACAAGGAGGAGCAGTACACAAAGTATCAAGCTCTGTCCCATCGACCAACACAAACACATCATGCAATTCAGCAGCACAGCAATCAAAGTATACCACATGAAGTATCTGATGAGATTCCAATCTGAATTAGGCCGACGAAGAATCGAAGCCCAGTCGACGGTGCGAACCAGATCGCCGCCGCCGCCGCCGGCACCGCAATCTGCAGGCACACGTCCCGGTGTTTGTGCCGTGGGTCGTAGATGCGTTTGGCTAGTGGTTGGAATTTCTGAAGACTGGTCATCAATCCATGCCACTGCCATGGCTGGCTGGCTGGCTGGCCGGCTGGCTATGTACTCTACTCCGCGCTTCCCTGGGAAAGGGGATCTGGCCGCGGCGGCGACGGCGACGGCGACGGCGATGGCCGAGATAAGAACGCGAGCACAAATACGCAACCGAGAGGGTGAAGGAAGCGCCGCCACCGGCAATATCCCCTCCTCGTGGGCTCCTACCCGCCCGCCGCCGCCGCCGCCGCCGCGGCGCTCGAGTTTCCGGCGGAGGCGGCGAATCCATGGCCGTGGTGGGGTTCGCCGGATTTCTCGTCGGCGTTGCGTTGGCAGCTGTGGAATCGGGGGGTTGCCTTCCCCAGGAGGCCGACAGGTGGGCCCCATGGGTCAGCGTGGGAGACGGGAAGATCCATCGTGGTGGTGCTTTTGCATTTGAGATCCTCAGAGTATCCCATATTTCCGTTTAGGTCCACCCAAATAGGGTCGCTTGTTCGTACCGTCCGATCTACCATACGCGGTGGAGATTGAGGATGGGTAAGAACTCAGTGTATTTTCGTTCTGGCCCTCCGTCTTTATCATATTTCCCTCACTCCGAATCTCCGATCGACGGCGGCGGAAGCGGAGCTCCGGCAAGCGGTGACCACCGGCGATGGTGGCGATCGATGGCGCGAACAGGGATCAACGTCCTTCCTAGGTGAACAGGTAATTAATTGCCACCATTCTCTGAAAAAATTGACTGGAAGTCTGGAAGTATGAAACCGTGCATGCTACTCCCTGAATGCTTTAGTTCAATCTCCATAAAGCTCCATCCAAACAAAATCTTCAGATGATATTTCATTAAAAACAATCATGCCCAAGAACTGTGCAACATCCAAAACTGGCTATAATCTTTGCTGAATTATGTACTTGGGATTCATATTACATTATCAAATCCAGTTATTTTCTGGAGCTACACCAGATGAAATCACCAAGTAAAACAATTATATAAGGACGGTGAGTTGTTAATTAATTACAGCTTTGATACACCACTCTGTTTGTTAATGCCTGATAGAGTTCAGAAAGAAAAAAAATATACAGGATTACACATATTTTTAGATACAACAACCTTAGTAATATCTAATGTGTGTTAATTCTCTCAAATACTATGAACCTGAAAAAACAAGAGAGAACATGTTTGTGAATTGTGATATCCTCATGCGAGTGACCTAAAACTCTCTACAGGGTCAGACTCCTCAAGCATCACCGCAGCCTGAAAACAATCAGCAGCATCATTGATCCTCCCATCATTCCTGTGAACTTTCCCTAAATGAAGCCAAGCCATCCTGTTCGTAGGCTCAATTCTCAGTGCATCCGAGAGGAAGCATCTCGCTGCAGGGAGATACCTTGACCCTTGCTTGCAGAGAAGTGCACCAATGGCCACCTTGGATGGAACATGCTCTAGCTCTATCGAGAATGCATTGACGTAGGCAGCCAATGCCTCCTTGTTCTGATCTCGCGCCTCGAGCATGTAACCTGAATTTATAGCAACCATGAGTTAGATTTTGATGTTGAATTCAGTTAAACGCAGAGAATTGTCATGTCAGTGTTATATAGAAGTGGTGAAAGTTCAAGTTTGGTTGGGTTGATCACCTTCTGCATGCATTGTTGCAGCCGAGTAGGATTTCAGGGCTCTAGCCTTCCGCAGACATATCTCAGCGTCTCTCCAGATTGAGAGACTGGAGTACAGGTTTGCAAGTCCTTGCCAGATTTCAAACTCACTTACACTGTCATTCTGTCCCTGAATGTTAAAAAAGACCCAAAACATGAGAGAGAAAAATTTATGGTAGTGATTCCCTCTACATTTATACTACAACCAACCAAACAAATTAAATATATTTGTAATAATCACATTATGCTAAAATCTGAGCAGATTACACAAATATAAACTGTGATTTTGTGCATTGGTTTGGATCAAGGAAACACACCTCTGCATCAGTCTTGCTAGATCCAGAGGAATTCTTTTGGGCTTGAACAAGAGCAAGAAGGGCACGGTATGCTTCAACTGCTTCCATAGGTGATGATTGAGCAACCTTCAGCTTAGCCTTTAGACTAAGTAATGACCCTTGATCCAACTTTGCAGTCTCATCTAATGCAGCATTTGTTGCCACTTCTGCTTCAGGATATCTCTGCTGTGCAGAAAGAACCAATGCTAGCAACCTCCAACCTTTTGAGACTGATCCACCGATTGCGTCGATATATTCCTTTGCGCATCGCAGTGCGGCATTCATGTTCCTCTGCTCAGCATATTCAACTCCCATGTCAAATATCAGGTCTGGATTGTGCCGGTCAAGAGCAATCGACTCTGAGAATGACTTTAGAGTTTCATTCTGCAAGAGAGACCTTTGGTGATCTGATGAGACAGTCTTTGACTTCTTGCCAAGACAATTCCCCAAGAAATGGAGTCCCACACTCTTCAGATGAACATCTGAAGATTCAGAAAGTTTGATCGCTCTTCTCGCGTATTCGACGCCCTCGGAAGCTAGATGTCGCTCCTCACTGCATATCTTACTAGCCAACAACAATGCCATTATATCATTTGGATTCTCATGCTTGTTCAGAGACTTCCTCAGAAAGTTTAGTGCAACTTCTTTCTGACCAATTGCATAATAGCAAAGAGATAGAGTGTGCCATCTCTCGGTGCGAGGATATATTCCAGGCAAAACCTCTTCTAGATTCTTTGCAAGAAGAGATGGTTGGTCGCAAAGCGATAATGCGTATGTCAAATGTTCCATCACCGATGGATCCCAATGCGTCTTCCCCTGGTACCATTTCTTCAGTACTACCATTAGAAGTAGAATGGCCTCTTCAACATTGTTCTTAGGAATAAAAGAACCTTCAACTTGTGATCCCGAGCTGGGTGGGCTCCCCTCTACACAGCTATACAGCAGAAATGCAGCAAATCTCTTCTGAATCCTTGTGCAACATTCATCGTCAAGATTCCATTGGCTGAGAAGACTGCGTCGGTACGAAGCTAATGCTTCTTGATGTGATCCAGCTTGCTTCCATGCCTCTGGGAGAAGCTCAACGGATTTGTTGATAGTTTCTTGTAGCTTCTGTTCGATGTCAGGAGGACCATTCTGGAACATGCTTTCGACTGAATCAAGAACGCTCTTGCACTGATTCGCAGCTTCTGCATGTTCATTGATAATTTTTTGGTTAGTACATATGATATCCAAAAAGCAACAAAAAAATAGTTTTCTAGTGGTATGTGCTTATGTGTACCTGTTGATTTTCCTAGCTTTTGAAGGGACAATGATTTCAAGTAAATGGCTTCAAGAACAAGGGTAGCAGGATTTTCTATGCCTGATTCTGATTTCGTCTGGCCTTTCTTAGATGTCGTCTTATCAGTAAGTGATGGTTGGAATCGTTGGATGGCAGCTTGAAGGTCTATGCCATCAAACACACAGAGAGCAGCTTCTACATTACCTTTTTGAAATTCCAGTCTTCCAAGGAGAGCTCTCGCTTCCTATCAATCAATAGGCATACCGATATACTTGGAGTCCAAAGAAAAAAAATGTAACTCTTCATGTGCTAAGCTAATTCTAAATGCAAATATAACTGGAGATCAATATCACAATAATTCAACAGTTAAATATTTCTCAACATAATGTGTCTGTCATGATCTTTTCTATGCTAAAAATCCCTACATTTATCAGAGAATAGAATTATTTTTACACGTGTCGGAGTTGGTCAGCATTATTGGTACGCTTGTTTGCTCACATTTCATGGTATATTTCCAAGAGGTGAAGCCTCTTTATTATATGTTGGTAGATCTTTTATTTCCTTTTATTGTAACAACAATGTTGTAATACTTTTCATTTTTGGGGAAATTTGCAAAAACCACCCCCATAAGTCACTTGAAATTTGATAATCCACCTCATAAGTCATTTTGTTACAAATGCCCACCACCTACTTAGTTTCATTGCAAAATCCACTCCAGTGCACACGTATTTAATCGGATCAACATGTTTTCATAAATTATGAGCCATCAATACGGTCTTTACCCAAACTAAAGACTTTTAGAGTATAGTCTAAACACTTTTTTTTGAAATTCCATTCATAGAAAATGGTGATGGGAGCTTAAATATTATTGCATTGAGTTTCACTGTATCTAAACAAAGTTCAATGAAACATGAAGAATAAATTTAATGCAAGGACTTGGACAAAATTAACTTGGCTAGCTTAGTATGTGGTAGCTCTACATCAGCGATAACAGGCTGATTCGGTTAAGCGAGTGCATACTAGGGTGTTTTTTAAACAAAATTGAGTAGGAGGGTGGACATATGCAACAAAATAACTTATGGGATGGAATGTCAAACTTCAAATAACTTATGGGGTGGTTTTTTTTTTAATTTTTTTCTATATTATTTAATATAGTCAGCCTTGTCTCAAAAAAGTAGATCTTTTTTAGAAACTCCCATGTTAATTAGAGAGAAAATCAATTTTGTTGTTTTCTCTCAATCTATGGCATCTACCGTACATAAAGGACCGATGCTTGTACCATGGATAATACATATCAACTAACTCAATGAACACCTCTAGTTGATAATTAGAAGAACTAAAAGTTGTATAATGGAATGTTTCCTTCGACACGCAAGAACCCGCAAGCATAGCCTGATATAGAGACTATTGCCAATGCCAACAGCTAGCCCAGTGTGGTTGGATATCAAAGTTGATTTTAATTACCTCTAGATAACTATAATGTATGGCTTTATTATGTTTAGGGGATTAGGTCAAGAGGCTGAGGCCCATGTCTAAGTCCAAGACCTGGCCAAGGAGTAGTACCCTCAATCAAGCATGTGAGAATTAATATTCAAGCGTGGAAAACATTTAGGGGAATGATATTTCCTTCTGTAATAATTTGATCAGATTGCCATAAAGGGTATTTGGTTAGTCTTTAGAATATAGCAATAAATTTGAATTTCTCTTGTTTTTCTCCAAAGTTATTATCCCAAATCTATACTCTCGCTTGGTCTTCACAAAGCTAACGTCGTCTAGCTCTTAGCAGTGTTATACAAAACTGAAACCTTTGCCCATAACAATTATCTCTATTTATGTCAATAGTGCCATCGGTTCAATAATAGTCAGAAACAAACAAACAACAATAAAAATAGTTGCATGCATACGTACGGTTCACAATTAGACTTCTCGTAAGAAAAAAAATGTCTATAATGCATGCATATTATTGAATGTTATAATCAAATCTAAATGTTAGAATTGGTACATATCTTAACAAATAAGGTCAAAAGTTTGGTCATAAATATTTGAAATTTCAATTTTTTTCTTTTTTTACTCAACAATAACATTTTAGAAGTTGAAATGTTTTAATTTTCATTAAAAAGTAAAACTACATGATATCTCTTTAAAATTGTTTGGGCTGGCAAATGCATGAGTTGCTGGTTGTATTAGTAACACTTATGAATTCTCATATACTGCAAAATGGTTGTTGATGCAAGGATATAACACAAATGTAATTTTAGTTAACACTCTATAAGTACCAAATCTTTGCGTTGCAATTGGACAATCATAATATCAACGTATGATTGCCCCAATCACAAAGAGATAAAGGAATAGCACGCTTACACTATCACACAATCATCATATTCAAAGAACATTTTGTACACATCAATACATCATGAAATGTTCCAAATGCTTGTAAGATGTGAAAAAAAAAAGAAATAACACATTTGTGGCAAACTTTGGAATCTATGATCAAAATGGCACTCAAAAAGGCCTCCTTGGACAGTAATATCTATGTCCAATTTGCCATAATAAATCGATAACCTTGTGTCAATAATGACATCTAATGATGTTAGACCCTAAAGACGCCATGTTGTATTCGCCATTTTTGTTGATCAACTTATTCAAAAGAAAAATTTTCAAAAATTCTCACCTCGTAATTTAGAGAGAGACCCCCAGTTTCTTGAGCATTACTATTTCCTGCCTTCACTATCTCCATCCCAGTCGACGCCGCCTGCTCCTCCTTCTCCACCGTCATGGGCGACGAGGAGTCATCGGTGGTCGTCTCTGTAGGTTGCACCTCTCCACCATCCTCTGTGTCTGAAGCCATGCCGACGCCGTATAATGGTCTCACCGGCGAACACCCAGTTATCGAGTAAGGATGAATCCTATTTTGATGTTATAGGAGCAGAGAAGCCTGAAGGCGACAATAACCATGCTTCTTTCTTGCCTTTGCATTTCCCCCCGCTCCACTTCTCTATTTTTAGTCACTAACAAAAATACTATCTCTATTTGTTTTTTTAATATTTTCTCTTCGGCCATGTGTAAAATCTAGCAGAAAAACCGGACATACCAAAGGGAGAACCTCACAACTCATCTCGATAAAACTTTTTAACATATCGACCAAAATAGCACGACGCCTTTCATAAATAGTTTACTAAAATTTGTACGCATTTGTTTTCATATACTTCATGCATACATTGTGCATGAATCAACTAATAATCATTTGGATCTGGAATCTCTAATAACGTTTAGTTTACGGGTGAACACGAACAAAACACATCCTACCTCCATTGAAAAAATGCAGTACTGCTCACTGACATGTGGGTCCAAGGGGCTGTGGGGCCCACATGTCAGTGAGCCCATCCTATCTATCTTCTACGGAAGAGGGGGGGGGGGGGGGGGGAGGAATATTACGTAAGCCCAGTCCAACCCTCTTTACTGCTTCCTTCTCTCTTCCACCCCCCAAATCCCCCCCCCACGGCGGACGACGCTCCCCCCCCATCCGCCGCCGCCGCCGCCGCCGCATCCTCTGCGGGCTCCGGTGACCGGCTCAGGTGAGCTCCCCGCTTCATCCCCCGCGCTGCCCCCATCCGTGTCGCCTTCGGCGCTGCCATCGGTGGTCGCGGCCAACCCCCCGGCCGACGCCGCCGCCGCAGCGCCCCCGGGCAAGGGGGGCGTCCTGGCTGCGTTGTGTTGCCTTCTTCCCCTTACGCCGCTCACCGTAGCCCTGTATTCGCCGTGCCCCTAGGCGCTGGCGCTGCCCATCGCCCTCTCTTGACCCGCGGGTGGTGGCGCGCCCTCGCCGCGCACTGCAAGATGGAGTACTTACTGATAGCAGTTTATTTGTTTCCTGAACATGATTGGGGATTAGACCTGTGCTTTGTTGGGTTTGTCTGCGATGCCGATTCAATTAGGTACTTTCTAATGGAATTCCATTATATGAGGTTATCTTTGGGGGTTTAGGGTTAGGGTTTATGCTTTAGGGTTAGTGTTATGATTTTGAGTAACGCGACAATTGAGAGTTGTTTATAGTTGGGGTTTATGGATTTAGGGTCTCGGGCAAAGGCGACAATTACAACTTGGTTTAGGGTTTAGGCTTTATGATCAATGCTATGGTTTTGAACAAGGTGACAATTAAGAATTCTATTTTCTTTTTGGCAGGCTAGCTGAATGATGTTCCTGGCATAGGAAGGGTGGCATTGTGAAGTGAAGCAAGAAAAGTTGTTGGACATGGCAGCTACAGAGGCCGCCACAGATTCATCGGGTCCGCGATATGCTCCTGATGACCCAACGCTCCCTGCACCCTGGAAAGGACTAATCGATGGATCAACCTTGTACTACTGGAACCCTGATACTAATGAGACTCAATATGAGAGGCCGGTGGCCGCTGTGCCTCCCTTGCCAACAGGTCCTCCTCCAGTAACCACTACACCTATGCCAACATCCGCATCAGGGGCTTTTTCACAGCCTAGCATGCAGTCGAACCAAGGTGGTCAAGTATCACAGTCCCAGCAGGAACGACCTGGTCAGACAGTATACCCTCAAGCCAGCCATCTTGGGCATCAGCAACTCCAACAGCCAACCCAGCAATCACCGTTTCAGCCAACGGCTCAGCATCAAGCTCCGTTTCAGCATTCACAACGAGCGCCCTATCAACAACAGCAGCAGCAGATGTCGCAGCAACCTCCTGCCCATCAGTACCCCAGCACACATCCACAACATATGCCATACCAGCATGGCCATTATATGCAACCCCAGCAGCAGCAGTTTCAGCAGGGCCCACAATATTCATATCAGGTTGGCCAGCAGCAACAGATGCCGCAAGCTGCCTACAATCAAGGTCAGCAGCAGCCTATTTCTCAAGCTGCCTACAACCAAAGTCAGCAGCCAGCGCAAGCCGTGGGTGCCTACAATCAAGGTCAGCAGCCGCCTGTTTCTCAAGCCTCATACAACCAAAGTCAGCAGCCAACACAAGCTGCAGGTGCCTACAATCAAGGCCAGCAGCCGTCAATGCCCCAAGCTTCCTATAATCAAGTTCAGCCGCCACAAATGGCACATGCTACTTACAATCAAGGTCAGCAGCCACCTGGAATGAGGATCCCTCAGGGTCAGGTGCAACCTCAGCAATCACCGGGCTTTCATCAACCCGCTCAGGTTTCACAAGTGCTGCAAGGTTCACAGTCTCAAGGACTTCAAATGCCGCCACAGCAAGGCCAACTCCAGCATGGCTTCCATTTGACAACTCCTCAGGGAAAACAACCACATCATGGCCATGTAGGTCCTCAATTGAGCCAAGTGCCACTTGGGCAGCAGAGTTCCACTCTGAAGGTTGACGAGACAGGAGTTACAGGAGGTCTTGATGGAAAACAGACTGGTTTTTCATTACCACTCAGTCAGCAGCGTGGCCAGGGTCCTGTTTCAAAACAACAGTTACCTTCTAATCATCAACTTTCTGGATCACATAATCAGCCAAATATTCCTGGAGCTGGAGGGCCATCATATCCTGCAAAGCATCATCTTGGTGGATCATCCCCAGGCGAGGCTAACAACATGAATTTTTTGAGCTCACCTGCTCAAATGCATCAAGGTGGTATGGATACAAACTATCGACAACATCCAGCTAGCAGTCCTGTCGTTCCAAATCATATTGGTCCTTCACCAGTTCGGCCTCCAATGGGTTTCAAGATGGGCAGTAGTGAGGATCACTTTGAAAGAAATGAGCTTTACTCTTCTGGCAGGATGGATGGAACAAATAATCTCCAGCAGCAGCCAAAGCTTGCTGCACTACCACCACTAAACCGGCCGGTAATAATTTATCATATGACACTTTGATGTCTTAATAAAGTCAATATTGTTTGTTTTGTCACAAGTGGTGTAGCCAATAATCCTTCTTTGTTACAAACATAGGCCATATGATACTATATAGCTTAAAAGTTATGAAGTTCATTCTTATGGTCTTATTGAAATGAAATCTTTTTACACCATATTTTATTATTGGTATCTGTGCACTAGAAAAAGGAACATAAAGAGTCCTGTAATGGTGTAGAGTTTTTACCGTGTACTACTAAAATTATAGTCCTTATGGCTTCAATGCTTATTATCAATGATCTGAAATCTTCATAGATTCTGAAGCTATCACCATTAACTCTACTCTTCATAATATTGTACAGCAGGATATGAGGAACGGGCCGCCTTATCCTCAGCCAGATAATTTAGGGGCTTTTAACATGGGACCTCCACATTCAGTGCCAAATTTGCATAACCATGGTCCGTTTCCTGAAGCTTCAATGAGGCCTCCGTCCAGAATGTTTGCTCCCCCAAATTTTCCGAGCATTGCTTCAGCTGACGCATATCGTCAACACCATGAAGTCACTGCAGTGGTAATCACTAATGGTCCAATTTGCACTATATTATGTCAAAACAATTGAATCACACTTCAGAACTTCAAATATCTTGCAACATGATATTTCTGTTTCTCTTTGTATTTCTTGTCAATAGATTTTAGCGTTCTGTTCCAAGTGTGACTAATAAGCTTTAAATATCCAATGACATGTTATCTTCTAACCTTTACAAGACAAAGATAATGAAATTGTTTTTTGTAGCATACCCAAATCTGAGTATCTGGCATGTCAAATGTGGTGTGCGGTTACATATATGTCTGATCAATCCTGGCAATCACATCTCCTAATAGAGAAATGGGAGGGATGCAAATATTTCTATATTCTTATTAGATTTTCTAACATGCCCTGCATAAAGACAATAGTTATAAAATACCACAACTCATGTGTATTTGTAGATACATCTTTGATCAATGTAATTGAGGAAAACGAATGGTATAGTCATATAGCTGGTTTTACCTGTCAATCTTGTTTTTGATAATCGCCCTTAAGTTTGTAGCTTATCTTGAGCACTTTTTGGATAGCAACTGTTACTTTTCTGTCTTGTCATATATTAGGTTCCTTTGGTACCCTTGTGTAGTCCATTATTTATATAATAATTCCTGGAATGGCTCTCCGCTACTCTCTGAAAAAGTAACAAGTACTAGACATTGTTTGTAGTACTTCCCTGTATATTGAACCCAAGAGATTTGTAGTTGGCCATAATTTGGTTGATCTGCTGTTCATGTACAATTCAGAAAAAAAATAAAGATTGTGGAGCTTAGAATCCATTGTTGTGTTTTCATGTGCATGCTCAACATTTCTACTATTGCATCTTCATTTTTCTAGTTGAGTTGGTATATCAATGTTATCTGCTTTATTTTTCATTTACTGTAAAACCTTTTCACATGCTATCCTGTTTCTAAAATTTTCAGGGTGAGAATGTGCCTCCTCCATTTATGACATTCGAGGCTACTGGATTCCCTCCAGAGATCTTGCAAGAGGTATGTTTTCTTTGGAGTTGCACTGTGCCACTAGTGCATGGTAAATTGTTAATATAGAAATTCTTGTCGGCATGGACCATTAGAAAGATTTCTTAGGAGTGAAGATTAATTTTTGAATAGCAAAGACAGCAACTTCTTATGCTGACATATAATTTAACAACTAGTGCCATCTTGTGGGCATTGTAGTGGCATACTTGTGGCTGTTTTCTGCTGACAAGTATTGGAAAGATTGGTGTTCTTTCAGATTATATAAAATGTGGCTGAGGTTTCCTGCTTCTAGTCTCTGCCACTGTGAATCTACAAAGAGCCCCTTCATGTCTTGAGTTGCTTAAGTAAGCAGCCATAATCACTTAGGATAGCATTTTCCTTTTTGTCATTATAGACAACATTTATTTACTTGGCACTATGCGCATAATATGTAAAATGGTGGAGATGCACATATGCTAATGATTCTTACTTCATTTTGTGATTTCAGATCCATGCAGCTGGCTTCTTAAACCCCACTCCAATTCAAGCTCAAACATGGCCTGTTGCACTGCAAAATCGGGACATAGTAGCTATTGCCAAGACAGGATCAGGGAAGACGCTGGGGTACCTTATTCCTGCTTTTATACATCTTAGGCGATACCAAAACAACCCAATGTTGGGCCCTACAGTGTTAGTTTTGGCCCCTACCCGAGAGCTTGCTTCACAAATACAAGACGAAGCAGTCAAGTTTGGTCGATCATCTAGAGTCTCCTGCACTGTAAGTTCTGACTTGTTTTTTTTTTTTAATATGAATTCACATGCTTAATCTGTCTTGATGAAAAAATACGCTGGAATTTTGGACTCTTGTTTGTTCTCCATAAGTTTTGATGTTACTTACGTTTTTGACACATGTAGTTTGAGTCTGATTCTTAAAAAAAAAGGAAGAAAAAGAAAATCTCTGGAGAAGCAAATTGTTCTTGTAATGGCATATTGGCGTTGCATGAACGTGCGCACCAAATAATAATTCTGCTGTTATCCTATTTAGTATCTTACCTTGTAGATAATGTGCAGTATGTCATCTGTTCTGTTATTAGATGGCACACCTCATTTCTTGATGCGATGTTGATTATTGGTCTATATATTATCAGTGTCTGTATGGGGGGACTTCAAAGGGCCTTCAGCTAAGAGAACTTGAGCGTGGAGCAGATATTGTCGTTGCAACTCCTGGACGTCTTAATGATATCCTGGAGATGAGGAAGATTAGTCTCCATCAAGTTTCATTTCTTGTGCTTGATGAGGCTGACCGTATGCTTGATATGGGTTTTGAGCCACAAATACGTAAGATTGTGGATGAGATTCCTCGAAACAGACAGACTCTGATGTATACGGCCACTTGGCCAAAGGAAGTTACAAAAATTGCTGGGGATTTACTGAAAGATCCTGTTCAGGTTAATATTGGTAGCATTGATGAACTCGTTGCCAACAAATCCATCACACAGGTATTTATATAATCAAATATAGGGTCCTTGTTATGCCGTTTTAAATGGCCTTTCTTCTTTTGGTAATTCAGTTCTAAGGTTACCTCCTGTGTGTGGATGCAGTATGTAGAGGTGGTTCCACCATTGGACAAGCAGCGGCGATTGGAGCAGATACTTAGAGCTCAAGAAAGGGGCTCTAAGGTCATCATATTCTGCTCAACCAAGAAAATGTGTGACCAGCTTGCTCGTGACATTGGTCGTAGTTTTGGTGCTGCAAGTATTCATGGTGATAAATCACAGGCTGAAAGGGATAATGTTCTGAATCAGTTTCGCACTGGCAGAGCTCCAATATTAGTAGCCACAGATGTTGCTGCTCGTGGGCTTGACATCAAAGATATCAGGTGAGGCTTTCTCATTGTCACAAGTTAAAGTCTTCTGGTGTTCGTGTTGTCTCATCACTTACAAGTACTTTACGATATTCATATTTTATCAATTGTTCAACTCACTGAGACTTCACATGTGTTTCTCAGAGTAGTGATCAATTATGACTTTCCCACTGGGATCGAGGACTATGTTCACCGTATAGGGCGTACAGGAAGGGCTGGGGCAACTGGAGTCTCATATACTTTCTTTTCTGAACAAGATTGGAAATATGCTGGTGATTTGGTGAAAGTCTTGGAAGGTGCTAATCAGCATGTCCCTCCAGAGTTGCAAGAGATGGCTGCAAGAGGTGCAGCTGGAGCTCCAAGAAATCAAGCTGGTGGGATGAGCCGTTGGGATGGACCTGGTGGTGGTGGTAACCGTTTTGAATCTGCTGTTGGTATTCCTGGTAGTTATGGTGGAATTAGGGATGGCCCAGGCGGCTTTGGTGGCCGTGATGGCCCAGGCGGTTTTGGTGGACGGGATGGCCCAGGCGGCTTTGGTGGTCGGGATGGCCCTGGGGGTTTTATTGGTCGAGAAGGTCCTGGTGGCTTTGGCGGTCGGGAGGGTCCTGTTGGCTTTGGTGGTCAGGAGAGTCCTGGTGGCTTTGGTGGACGCAAGGGACCTGGTGCCTTTGAAGGTCGAGAGGGTGCTGCTCCTGGTAGCTTTGGTGGGAGAGGTGGTCGTGGACCTGGTGGTTTTGGTGGCAGAGGTGGAGGAAGTCCTGGTGGTTTTGGTGGCCGTGGTGGCAGGGGTGATTCTCATGGTTTTGGTGGACGTGGGAGGGGTGACTTTTCTGGCTTTGGTGGACGTGGCAGGGGTGATTCTTCTGGCTTTGGTGGACGAGGCCGTGGTGATTTCTCTGGTGGACGTGGTGGGAGAGGGCGTGGATTTGGAGGGCGTGGACGATCTGACCGAGGCCCACATGACCGTTTTATCTCAGATGGACGTGGAAGATACGATAACCGCCGAGGATTTGGTGGCAAGGGTCGGGACCGGAGCTACAGCCGCAGCCCAGATAGAGGCCGCTCGCGAGGCTATGACCGAAGAAGTGGCAGTAGGAGCCTAAGTAGTAGGAGCAGAAGCCGAAGCAGGAGCTGGTCACGTAGTAGGAGCCGCAGCAGGAGCTGGAGCCGGAGCCGTAGCCGCAGCCGCAGCCCAAGTCGCAGCAGGAGCAGAAGCTATGACCAGGGTGCAGGACCGGCACGCAGGCCCCGGCCTAGATCCGGCTTCGATGTCCTGCCACCTGCAACCGGAGCCGGTCCTGCTTCAACCGGTCCTGGGCCTGTAGCTGTACCTGCACCTGGATCAGCAGGTCCTGTTCCCCCGCAGGTACCTGCACAATCACTGGCTGATGCATCTGCAATGTCACCAATGTCACCAGGTGGCCTAGCACAAGAAGGTGCACCGTTCAACGGCGGGAACGATGGCGGCCTCGTCCCAGCACAAGGGGTACTCCCTTTCCAGGGTTCTGATGTAGCAATGCCACCAAATTTTGCTGCAGCTGAAGCGTTTCCAGGCCCGGCAGTTGAGCAGGAAGCCCCTGATGTATAATGAGAATAATAGTCAATCTGTAGCTCAGTGCCCTTTTCTTCCTCATTTTTTCTTAGTCCGGTGTACGATGTAGAATGGTGGTTTTTCCTGCCAAACGGGCTAACATCCTTGGCTGCTGCGACATTATTTGGTCTTTGGAGATATGATGATGACATATGGTTGTATGGTCTTTGCTGTGACGGGAAGAGAAAGATCGAGTGCTCTATTGCAACCGCAATCTGTATTTTGGATGTCTTGCAAAACTGGCTAGTTCCTTTTTTTTTTCATTTCAATTTCTTTATACTACACCACTGTTCTTGTGGCTTTCAACGCTAGTATTGATGCTGTGTTGCTCCATCAAAAATTGATGGAAAATTGTCCCTCGTTTCGCTCCGGCCTGCCTTGCTGTCCGAACTCATAAGCGTATGGCCCACTTGTCAGTGTCACAGTCCTTCCTTCCCTTCATCAGCATATGGCCCACAGCTCAGTGGCACACACCAGGGCTCTCTATCTCGCGCTCCACCTCTGACTGACCTGTGGGCCCGTGCTGTCATTCCAATCTCGCTCCTCCTCTTTTCCCACTGCCTCCGCCGCTCTCCGCCCTCCGCCTCCGCCGCCGGAGAAGAGAACCCTCTCCACCTGCACTTGCCGCCGCGCGGCCCGCGCGCACCGGAAGGCCTTGCCGAAGCGGGAAGCCATGGTCGCCGCCGTGCTTGCCGCCGACAAAAGGTGGTATAGCGCGCTGCCTCTTCTCCTTCGCCTTCTCCCTTTTGCGTTTTGGTGCTCCTCTTACGGGTTTAGTGGTCGTGTTGCTCCCGCTGCTGCTGCAGGTTGGGGCCGTCTGCTGCTAAGAGTACCAGCGCGAGGGTTCCTGGGGTGATCCCTAAGCCCATCGATCTGCCAAGCCAAAGGTAAACCCACCCTGTTTTTAAAATCTCAGCACTTGATCATGGGGTTTAGCGGTGGGGTTTACCGTGCCATTGTGTTCATGGATCATATCTTCTTGTATTGCGGGTCGATGTGGTGATGAGGCTTTGCTCGCTTTTTTTTTTGTGAGAAGGTTGGGGAAATTGCTCCAAAGTAAGCTGCTTCCTTTTACCATGTTTCAGGTGTTCTTAGGATATGGAGAAATAAAATGCGGTTTTTGTTCTTATTACATGTTTCTACAATGTTTGATTTCATCAGTTAGAGAACGAAAATCATGCCAATCAGCGTTAACGATTTTGTGAATCGATAATAGAATGGGAATGCTGTTTGTTTTAGATGGACATATAGTTTTGCTTCACTGTTGCATCATCGGTTTTACTCGCATGCCAGTCATGGGGATTCCAATGGTGTACTGTCCAGGCAACACTGGTTTAGGCATTTCTCTATTATTGTTATCTGATGGGATTTTTGGGATGAATATGTCAGGGGAACGGCCACACAGGGTGATAAATCGATGCCTCCAGCATCAAATGCATGGGGTTCTCCTTCGGTTATGTATCCCAAGAATGGTGGTGGTTCTGATTTATTCAGTCACATTAGCGACCGCCCTTCTTCTAGAGGAAGCTCGACTACATCAACAATTGGAAGTGACTTCCTTGACATACCTAGTTTACGGGGTCCAAAATCAAGTCATTCATCAGTATCACATGTATTACCACCAAATCATTTGCCAACTGCTGCAAATCGTCTTCAAAGCACAGTGACAATAGCAAGAAGCTCGCGACCTTCTCGCTTTCCAGATTCTTTCACTCAAATTCTGAAAGCACCATTAAGAACTAATAACAGAAAACGGGTATGTTTTCCACCCATACCTCCTGGTGATAAGTAACCTAATGTATATATCTAATCATCCATTTTGGCTATGTAGGGGCTTAAAATGCCTGAGAAGGGGTTCACCCTAATTATGGATGATTTCCCAGTACTTGGCTCTGTGAACTCCGAATCAAACACTCGACGAGGTGACTATCTTCAACATAGCATTGCTCTGGATAAAGTCTGGTTACAGCTTTGCTTGTTTGGATTGTAGCATGCCTAATTCTAACTTGTCGTTCTGTTTAGTTCCATATTAAAATATGGAATAGAATCAATTAGCTGCTATTTTTCTTCCTTGTTTGGATATATCTATATTTTCTGCTGAACTGAGGTGCCAGAAGCTTTATCAGTTCCATAAAGTTTGAACCAGTATATATGTTCCCCTTGTTGTCTTCTCATTTACAGGCCATAATCTGCAAGGGAGATCAACTTTTGGTTCTGGTACTCAGATAGCACAAGATGAACAAAGAAAGATCCATCTTACTGGTATACACTTTGTTAATAAATATTATGTCACTATTTCATACTCCTAGTTCATTACCTCACAGGTGCTCATAGAGATTTGCTAGCAAATACATTTGTTTACCTTTCCATATGGCCATATATGTTTCTCTAGTGTGGTCATATGATGAGAAATAATATTTTGTATGGCAGGAGTCGGCGAAGTAATTTCATCTTCTAATTATGAGCATGAACATGACTTAAGAACAGACTATGTCAATGAAGGAGATGCTCAGGTTACTGCTGCAATCTTACCATGGGGGGCCAAGCATGCTCAACAACATGGTACAAATGCCCCTAAGCAAAGTGTGCCTCCACCATGGTTCAATTACTGGCATCCTCCTCCTGATCATCCTCCAGATGGAAATGAAATGCTGCATGAAGGGGCAACAGCATATGGTTCAGACAAGCCTGCAGACCCTCATATGATTTGCTCTGTTGAACCACTTGCTTATTATGGTCAGTTTCTACTCAACCAGGAGGCAGCACCAATGCAGGATCCAGGATATAGTGGTTATATATCAGACAACCAGGATGGATATCACTGTGACATGGAAGCTGATGCTCTTGTCATAATTCAACCTCACATTCTTGGGAAGGTCAAGCATGGTCATTCAGAGGGACTTCAGAAGCAACCTCTCATCAAGAAGGATGTAGCTCTACTGGAGAAGATAAAGTGTCTAAACATCAAAGCTAGAAAACTTCGTGCCTGTAAGATCTCTGAACTATCGCCATCGAAGGAATCCATGATTGAACGTTCAAAAAACACAGATGAAAAGGCTGATCATGTGAAAAAGGATGTTCTCTTCAGTTCTATCACCAGTGATACTATGTCTGCCTTTGACAGCGCTAGTTCTTTTTCTGAGAGTAGCGATTTTGTGCCAAGTAATTCCGCAAATGTGCCTGGTAGTGCAACTATTACTAGCTCATCAGAACTAGAAGCTACCGAATTTAGGAAAGCTGGAGAGCCTGGTAAATTAGGTGACCATGATGCATATGGAAGAGTAAGTACTTCAAGAAGCAGGCACGGTGGTTCTGCCAAGAACATGTCATCAAATATTTCTGAAAATGGATGGGAAGAGCACTCTACAGTTGACTCTCTGCAAGTTGTTATGGCAAATGCTCAACAAGACAAATCTTTTTCCAGGAATCTATCACTGCAGGTGCATGTGGCTGCTGTTGATGAGATGCTAAATCTGCTTGATAATGAAATCCAACTGGTATGTGGTTCTAATTCCCATATCTCATGAATCATTGAATTGTTTACAAAGAGAAATAATGCAACATGTACATGTTTTTGGAGAACCTGTGCAAAGTCTGATTGAAGTGCGTATTTTGGGGCAAGTGTACTTATTGAAGGTACTATATAACACTTCCATGCAGAAAATCCAGTCTAGTTTGCAATTGCTCACTGGATTCTGATAAATCTATTGTTTTCTACATTAACAGCTTCATTCTGAGGTACAGTTTACAATGAGATGCAATAATAGGTTAATAAACATAAGAATGATTGAGTTATTTATGTTACTTCGAGGAATGCTCTTACATGCTTATTTGCATCTATTTTATTTTTCATTTAGATGCCTATCCCCCAAATGTTTCACTCATTCCCAATATGATCTGTGGTTCTTCACCGTGCATCATTTTAGAGATCAACCTGTTTTGTTTAGGCACATTGTTTTGTGTTGTGATATTACTCCACTTCTGTTTCCTATAGATTTCTTAATGGAGTGCCTAAGAAAGTGGCACATGTACATAAATGAAATGTTAGAAATAGGAAACAAATAGTGCAAAAGGTTTACTGAGATATGCTATCTCATTCTTGTTAACTAGTGTTTTTTTTGGTGCATTCAGCATTCAAGAACAAGAGAGTTGTCTGCCCATCATGCAAAACAGGTACTGGAGGATCAGGACTGGAATAGCCAACAGAAGGCAAAATCCATTACAGAACTGGATGAATTGATAAGGCATTCACCAGAACAGAGTCAGAAGACAAATGATGCGCCCTTGGAAGAAGATAATCTTCATCTGAGACAGAAAGATGGCAGCCATGGAACTACTACGTATTGTATTGCCTCTGAGAGTTTCAATGCACCTTTGCCAGCAAACAGAGTTAATCATATTACAGATTCTATCAGCTTTATTCCAGCATCAAATACCACAGGTATTAGTAAAGACCCTGTGATTCATAAGGTCATATCTCCAGCAAAGAACACAGAGATTAACATGATGGAAACTGCTCCTAAAAGTACCTCACAGTCACAAGGCAACAGTGCTCCAAAGCATTGGAAGATTGACAATAGGCAAAGGCATGTTGAGTCATGGGAGAGAATTACAATTGAGAGGTCAAATATCGCTGAAAACGCGGAATATGCTAAAAATATTGCTGAGACTCCTACAGATGCACCGAGTGCTGAAGCTCAATGTCATGAAGACCTCTCAACCGTAGACAAGAATAGCTGGAGAGATGCTTCTGCAGCTACTACTGCATCACAACCTGTCTTTGATAAGAAGAATGCAACAAAAGTCCCTAGTGCGCATAAAACTCTTTCAGGTGTTGTCATCAGCAATTCTATGATTCCTGTTACTTCTGTTTCAGGTCTTACTGTGGGAAGTATAATGCTTGGGGATATTTCATTCATATCAGTGAACCAGGTGGGGGCTACAGCTGCCAGGGTAATACATGATACCAAAAATACCCACTCAAGGACGACTACAATTCAGCAGCCAAGCAAGAAAGAACAGCCTGAGGAAGGTGCTCTGAACAACATGGCAGTAGCTGCTCCCACCCTGCTATCTGGAAATCACAGCATTGTTCAGGATACTGCCATGATAGCAGAATGGTCTGAAATGGAGAAGCATAAGTCTGTAGAAAAAGAGCAGCTGAACCAGTGGAATCTGGGGAAAATGTTACCAGCACAAAGTCATAGAGCATCTTATGGTAATCCAGGAACATTCAATTTTGGGGCTGAGAGTCGTGCTAACAAAGCACTTTATAATTTCACTGCTGATAAAGTTGAGCCCACAACTAAGCTTGATAAATGGTTGGATAGGGAATCTAGCTGGGTTCAAGTGAAGACTGGTCAACAGTATACTGATGGATCGGCTTCACTGATGCAACATCTTACTGAACAAGTAGACAAAATTGATCAGTGGCAATCACCTGAACCTGATAAGCAAGTAAAGAGGCAATTCGAGTTCAAGACCCACGATGGTTCTGACAGCCGTTTGGAGCCAGTTCGCACAGTTCCCTTGCCTGTGAATAATTGGGAAATGCGTCATGCAAGTTACAGCCAAAAGCAAAACCATGTTGAGGGTCAAAGAAATGTTAGGACTAGTGATGCCACAAACATCTACGAGGGGAGAGACAGGACACGTGCATTCTATGAGGTTCCATCTTTGTCTAAATCCTTCTCCGATGCACTGAACAAATCACAAGGCACTGTTGTTTCTGAGTGGATGCAGGATCCCTACCAAGGAGTATATAACATGGATAACTCCCGGGGCTTTGATAGTGCTTTTGTAGACAGCAGCTGTAACGAACTGATCCAGAATGTTGATGGAGACAGTGAAATGGATCTTTACAGCGAGCAATTCAAAGAACAAGTGAAATTTGAAGATGGACACCTTCTGATATGGAATCCAAGAGAATGGGAGTACCAACTTCCATCACCACCTCCCCATGGTCAGCACAGTGGGAGTGAAATGGAACTTTGCAGTGACCAAATTGAAGGAGACATGATTTGGGAAGATGGTCACCCTTTGATATGGAATCCAAGAGATTGGGAGTACCAACCACTCAATCTAGAACCACATCACCATGGCCATGGTCAGCACAAGGAGAGTGAAATGGTTCTTCTTTACAGTGAGCAATTCGAAGAAGACATGGTACAGGAGGATGGAAAACCTTTGATATCGAATCCAGAAGATTGGGAATACAAGCAGCTCAATCCAGAACTAAATCAACATGACCATGCACACAGGGGGAGTGAAATGGTTCTTTACAGCGAGCAAATGGAAGAGGATGTGATATGGGAGGATGGGCACCCTTTGATATGGAATCCAATAGATTGGGAGTACCAACCGCTCAATCCAGAAACACATCAACATGACCATGGTCAGCCAATGGGGAGTGAAATGGTTCTTTACAGCGACCAAATCGAAGGAAACGTGATATGGGAGGATGGACACCCTTTGATATGGAATCCAACAGATTGGGAGTACCAGACGCTCAATCCAGAACCACATCACCTTGACCATGGTCAGCACAGGGGGAGCGAAACTGATCTTTACAGCGATCAAGTCGAAGGAGACGTGATATGGGAGGATGGGTGCACTTTGATATGGAATCCAACAGATTGGGAATACCAACCGCTCAATCCGGCACCACATCACCATGACCAACACAGTGGGAGATATCACAGAGGCGGTGACACGTACTCGGAATGGGGTTATGATGCTGGGGAGCCAACTTATGGCGCGAACGAAGGGAGACGAAAGGGTGGCATACATTCAGAGTACCAGTCGAAGCCAGTAGGATCGTCTGATGTTGCCCCAGATATCCAGCGGAATGCAGGTGCTGATGATCAGAGCAGGCGGCATCCAGCTTCAGGAGCAGCGTACAGGGAGCGCAGGTACTACATTTGATGTTGCTGTTAGGAAGCTGTATGTGTTACATGGAGGTGTAATCATGGAACCATCATCATTCAGCCCTGTAATCATAATTTGGACGAGTTTAGTTGATGAGGTTTTGTAGGAATAACACTTAGTATCACATTAGACACTGTTTTGCTGGGTGCATGCTATCTGTCGCTCTCGCTCCTACTGCCCGGCGGAAATCTTTTGTGGGGGACATTTTTATGGTATCTAAGGAGGCTATCATGAGACTATCATACTTTGTAATGTAAATCTGAGTAACTCTACTGCAAAAGCAATACAAATTATGTATCTATGAAGTACGTGTCTTATAAAAACTGGAGTATAGTGAAGTCGTCAATGGAAGAAGGTTCATATCCTTCCCACATGTTGGTTTAGTATACAAAACTCAACACTTGGAACAAAATTTGACTAGATTTAATCATGACGACCTGCTGTTGTGGAGGCTGGATGTCATCCTTATATACGTCACCTTGGAAGAGGAAGTCATGGATGCAGGCCGTCTTGCTGAACATAACATCGTAATACCAAAGACAACGAACATATCTTTTTTTTTTTTGAGAGAAACAACGAACATATCTTCAACTGATGGCTGCACTGTCTGACATTTCTATATGTATGGTCATTGCAATATCATGTCCATCTTTTGTTTATGCAGGAAGAGGACAGATGGAAGCTTCAATGCGTTGGCATCAACATCTCCATTGAAGCCAACATCGGAGGAAAAGAACAAATAAGAGAAAGCAAAATAAAAAGGCAACACGTAAGTAACAACATGTCTATCTCGGAAGGCAACACCATGGTCAATAGGAACTCTCTTCAGTAGCTGCAAGTTGTATTTTGCAAAGTTGGCTAAACAGTACTGTGTATTTGGGTACTGCCACATCAATGGCTACAACTTTGGTTTGTTAATGTTCCAATGTTGTCGTCTACTATATATATTTTGGTAAGTACGTGCATTCCAGAGCCTGTAAATTCTGGTGAATGAATACATGTTCTTACGACTTCGCCCACAACATGCCTATGTGTCGAGCCTCATCCTCTGCCTATGAATACCAGCACCGTTAGCACACGGGGTGAGTTGAAACCCGTTTAAACTTGTATAACACAAGTTCGAAGATCCGTAAATGCATTTTTGAGAGTTTAGAAATCGTGATGATGCACTTGCAAAAGTTTAGGACCACACATGTACTCTTTTTCTAAACACAAATATGATTCACCTAATCGTATATGTAGACATATACAGGTAGGAGTATCACAAGGGAAGATGAACTATCTGTTGAATTTTTCTTGCTCCCTCCATTTTAAATTACTTATCGTTCTAATTCTGTGCTAAGTCAGATATATCTACCTTTGATCATTAATTCTGAAAAAATCCATGTAGTTTAAGAACAGTGAATTATTTATTATGAAAATATTTATTATGATGAATCTAAAAATTTAAATCTCATAATGTGAAACCATACGAGTTTATAGAAACTGATGATCAAATATTAAAATACAAATTTAATGCTATTACTTGTGTGTCACTAAACAAATATATTGATAGCTTAAGTATTCCTTAGAAGTTACAAATATTAATTTATCGAAAATACATACACATATTATATTCTGGACATGGGACTATATAATTGATAACTTCTATTTCAGCTTTTCATAAACTTCAAATATATTATATAATGATATCCAGAGTACTAGAAGTATATATCGGCGAAGTATCGATCAAGTACCAAGAAGTAATAGTAATTAATATATTATTTTCACTACAAGAAACTTGTTAATCCATGACGGATTCTCGGTGACGGATTTACAGATCGTCACTGACAAACGTAATCGTGACGATTTTTTGTTTTTCGTCACGGATGAGCCCAATGGATATTCACGGCCCGCTAACTCGTGACAGTTTTATCAAGACTGTCACAATGTATGATTTTAAATTCGTCATACTCAGCCCAAAGCAATAAAAAATAAAACATATTTAGCGCAAAGAAAAATAAAAAATGTGATTGCAAGAAGAATCAAACCCAAAATACGATTTGTTAAATTTGAACAAAATAATTTTGCTAATTTGTTACATGTATATGATGCATAATATGGCAAACAAAAAAAAATATGGTGCGCATGGGTAAAAATCTGCAGCATGTGGGATTTGGACCCACAACTTAGCTGGAAGGTAGGAATGTGTCTTACCATTTGAACCACTTGTTCTAGATGTACCAATGTGCACTTAAATATTTTTATTTGTCCCAATGTCACTCGAGAGTTGGCGTTTCAAAAATGAAAAGAGAACTCGAATTGGTAAATTACCCATGACCTCTTGTTGAAGATAACCCATCCTACCACTGCGCTAGTTGTCTGGTGTGTTACGGTAGGATTCTATAATTTATTATAGTTGAAGCAAATGTCATAGATTTATATATTGCATTACTAGAAAAAATATATTAAAGGTTTAAACAATTTAATCAAGTGAATTAACGAGGAAACTAAAATTTTTCTTTAAAAATCATTGCCGCAATTTTTTTAATATTCTACATGGTCTAAATTATTTTCTAAAATTTTCCGTAAATTTTCGGAGCGCAATAACTAATTTTAATACCATAAAGTTTATTTAACCTATTAAAATAAATGGAAAACAAATTAAAATTCCTCTTTGTGTACTTGGGCCTTTTTCGGCCCAAGTATTACTCTCTCCCTCCCTCAGCCCGCGAATTTTTTTCGTTTTTAGATTTTTTTTAATATTTACAGAAATAATCTATCGGCGTACAAAATTGCAAAAATAGACCCTGCCGCCCACCATTGGGGCGGCAAGCTGACGTGGCAGACGGTGGGTCAACCGCGCCGTCTGCCGCCGTCGGCCAAAATTGCGATTAGGCCCTTGCCGCCCATACAGAGGGCGGCAAGGGGCTAATTGCAATTTTGGCCGCCCATGAAGAGCTTGCGGCCGTACTTTTTTCTCGCCCCAATAGAGGGCGGCAAGGGACCCAGATGTAAAAAGTACGCCCAAAAGATTTTTCTATGTAATGTTAATAATAAATAAAGAAGTATTTGTTGGTAAAACTTGTTAATATTGTTATAAAAATGTATTGAAGTTGGTTGTTGCGCAATTTCATATGTTAAGTGAGGTATTATTTTGTACCTTATTCGACGTATTAGTACTCGGATAATTAATATAGGCCTATCGCAGTATCGGTCGTAGAAACATTATATGGACTTAAACAAGGAGAATTATGTAACATGAAGAAATAGTAGTACAATTTGAACATGATACAACTATTTCCATTGCGGTTACATAGATGATATTAGATTCAAACTAGGAGGGAGGTAGTGCAATAGTTGAACACAACGACGATCTAGTAATGGGACAAGGAAGCATGACAGTAGAAATTTCAATATGCCAAGTTGTCCGATAATAGCTAACCCCTACGTGAGGATCCCTATTCTCTCTCAAACCGCGCTTTAGTAACCCTGTATTGCTCTGGTAGTTCAAGCTGCACAACACGGCTAGGTGGAGTTAGAACCCTTCTGGTGTCTATCCATTCTCTGTATTGACATCTCCTTGGTGGTTTCTGGGAGGAAAGAATAGATGTAAAGCGAGCAAAGTTAGTAAATGTTTTGAGAAAATAAGGATTCATGTAATCAAAATATTCTTACCATGAAATCGTCGTCAAGAATATTTGGACAAACAAAGAACCTTCGACCCAATGTTGTAGGATTTATGGAACGAAGAACCTGACAACGATCACCACACCTGCATCTTGGACGGGCTTCCCATGGAGGGAGTGCCGTAGTTAGCACCCGCCAGTTGCTCTGTTGTTCACGACATTGTCGTTCATAAGCCGCTTTTCTCTGTAAGTATTGCTCAGTACTTTCGGATGCGAAATACCAGCGACCTTCTTGTAAACAAGTGGTTAGGTCGAGAACGGGATTTTCTGTATCGACCCACTCGATGTATGCGCAAGCCGTAGTGCGGGTCTGCCGAATAGAGTAGTGTTACGAAGAATAAAGCGATTGCCCATACGGAATGAATAAGCATATGCAGATAATAAAATACCTCACGGTCATAGTTAGGGCACCTAAAAAAGCGCCTTCCTCGAATATCAGGATTCCTCGAAGCCATTAGTTGGCATCGATCACCGCATAGGCAGAGAGGATGCTGGCACCAAGGTGGTAGTAGGTATACACAAGGATCGCTGCGCCAGTTTGGATCCTCAACACCCCGGCGTCTAGCCATTGACGAAAGCCGGTAGGATTTGTAATGAAGGAAGTGGGGAAGAGAGTACTGAATGTGACTGAGTTCTGAAAGATTGTGAGGCCTCACTCGTTAAGGCGACTTATATAGGCGCAAAAAATCGAGTGATATCCTTGACATGTGAACGTGGTGAGGCATGGTGGGTACGCCTGATTGGCGCTGAAAGTTGCATGCCTGATCGGCGCCGAAAGTTACATTGGTTGTATGCGGCAAATGGCGGGCAAATACTCGTATCGCACGCGAATAAAGGAGGCTGCATCGGTGCGGCAGAAAGTAGTCGTGCATGCGCCGAAAGGTATCGTGCATGCGCCGAAAGATATCGTGCACATATAACAACAACGTAGTCATTACACAAGCATACAGTACTGGAAAGTGAAGCAAATAAACAAAGAGAAGACTGCTCTACTGGCCCTGCCCCACGCCGCGACCACGCTTGGTCCTCCGGGCCTGTGCTCGCACGTGGTCCTGGGAGTAGGTGAAACGATCCGGTGGCACAGCACGGGTAGCACGAGTGTCTAGCGGAGGAGTGGCCTACGCCTGGTCCTGCGTCTGCACCGGCGGTGCCCCTCCCAGCTGTGAGGGGCCGATGACGTCCTCTGTCGAGCCTGTAGCGAACTCGAAGTCAGTGATGTCGAAGAGCACGGTGGAAGGCAGCAAGCGGTCCGACGAGGTCCCAGCATGGTCCAGTGGTGGACCCTGACTCGACGTGCCGGCTGCCTGTGACGAAGTCCCGGTGTACTGCCAAAACTGCGCTGAGTGCGAGGTCGACGCAGCTGCCTGAGATGCTGACCCTGTAGCCTGGGAGAAGTGGGCGGCCTGCGTCATATCGAACTGGGCGAAACCTACACATCAACAATGGGACCTTGTAAGCTAAGACATAAAATGCATGTAAATTGATTGTTGAAGTAATGTTGTTTTTTTAAGTACCTGTGGGGGGCACACCAGAAGGCCTAGCCGAGGAAGGCGGGGTGCTGAACGGTGCACGAAACCCTGAATCAATCGGCAAGTGAAACGGCTCACATATATGGGCGAGGCATGTACAGAAAAATCCTTAAAAATACTTACCTCCGTGCGGAGGGGGAGTCGGCCTAGGAACGTGCGCAGCTGGACTGGGACCAGTCGGTACGGGTGGCCGCTGTACAGCTGCGTCTGCTCGAGCAACGTCGTCCGCACGACAGGTGAGCACTTGGAGAATCGAGCGCATCGACTCCACCATCCGCGTGTACGTCTTCAGGTGCTCCCCTACGGGTACCGGAATCCCCGCGCCTAAACGTTGGATCGTCGTTGAACCGTCAACGACGACCCGGTTGATGTCGTCGACCTGCATGGTTAATTTGTTCATACATATTCGTAAAATTTGACGATGAGAAAGACATGAAAACATAAAGGAATGGTGCGATATAGGGTACTCACACAACGAGCGAAGTCCTGGTCGCGGTGCCTGGCGTAGAGGTCTCTAGTGCTCGCAACGTGGGGCTGCTGCTCCAAGGGAGCGAAGGTGACCCTAGTACGGGTGCGTGGCTGGTACCAGCATAGGTAGGCCTGGTACGCCTCCTCAGTGTGCGGCTCTCCCTCGTGGTCCACGACCTCCTCGGTTGCGAGTAACTAGTCCTCAACAAAAGTCCCCAACTTGGCGGGCCAGTCGCCAGCTGACTGCTGACCCTTGCGCGAGTACCTGCGAATTAATGTGTAATATTAGTGTGAATCGAGAGATGTTACAAATTATTGTGAATAGGTAGATTTTAATGCAGTAACGGAAAGCGTAGTGAAAGATCTTACCAGTGAACAGCAGCTGGGACGGTCGTCGGAAAAGGTACTGGAAAGGGCTGACGGAAGCCGAACTGCCGCATCACGCGGAAAGGGGCGTGAGGCTCAACGCAGATGTCGAAGACCATCGGAACCGTAGTCATCCAGTACGCCTGGTCCCTGGTGCAGAGTGTGGACAGACCCAACGGCGCACGAGCCTGGGTAGCCGCGGCACTGTAGGGCTCCCACACGACGTCAGTCGGCAGAAGGCGGTCGAACTCCATCACAAACTCAGGATACGACCGCCTAACCTGGACGTGAGCCCATCGGCGCTGCAATACGAGACGATCGATTTGATGTATAATGAACTGAGCAATTAATTTAACAATACGAGAAGATCGATGCAACGTACCTGACGACGGCACCACAGAGTACCCATCGTTGGGTAGTCGACCTCTGGTCGCTCCTCGTACAGTGACTCCTCGTACGCGTGCTGGTCCACCTCCGGGCGGTCGATCGCAATCCTCTCAGCTGCCCAGATAGAAAGAAAGTGAGGGCACCTACCAAAGGTCGCGCTGGGATCCGTCTTCGTGCAAGCCTCACAAAGTCCACGGTACAGAGCCGCCAACAACGCGGAACCCCAGCTCCACTGAGGCACCTCGCCTACCGCGGCATCGGCGATGCTCCTGGCGTAGTGCATGAGTCCCTTGTCGACCGCGTGCCCGTGACCTCCACAGAACATCACCCAGCCGAAAAGCCAGAGCAAGTACGCCTCCAAACAGCGGCTGTAGGAGTACTCGTCGGCCTCCGCCTGTAGCTGATCGACCTGCAAGCGTTCGTTAAAATGTTAGGAACCTTAACATGTGGAATAAATATGTAGTACGCCTGTCATTTCGGTACAAAAACACTCACGGTGAACTGAAGCAGCCACCTCTTCGTAGGTCCGGTGTTGCGGTGGTGTGCCAACGGCTCGAGCGGGAGGTGCGGTGCGCGCTGTACTAGTGCGAAACGTGCCGTCAGATCGTCCTGCCAGTCCACAGCCGTGGTCACTGGCCCAATAGCGTCTCCCGCGAGTGGTAGCCCCAACAAGTACGATACGTCCTGTAGGGTAGGGGCTACCTCACCGCACGGCAAGTGAAAAGTGTGCGTCTCTGGCCTCCATCGGTCGACCAAAGCTGCTAAGAGGGACCTGTCCACAGTCCATCGTCTGGCCGGGTCCGCGTGGCCGGCGGCAGCCTCCACCAGCCGACACATCGGTAGGAGGCCGGCCTCACGCAGCCTGCAATAAGAAATTAATATGTCATTACAAAAAATATTACAGCGCAACTAATTTATAGTAATACACTGTTCGTACCTCTCGACAAAGGAGTCGTGAACCGTGAGTAGCTCACCGCACGTCCATGCCCGGAACGTCCCAAGCTGAGCCCCCTGCACCGCAGTAAGGTGAGACCGGTGTCGGTGATCTATCGCCGGGTCCAACAGCTGAGGTGTATCCTGACGTGCCATCTCTGAAAAATATAGTGTTTCGTGTTAGAACAAAATATTCATGGAATATTTGGACAAGTTCGTGGTGGTATTCATTGATGATATCCTCATCTATTCCAAAAATGAAGAAGCGCACGCGCAACACTTGCGTATGGTGCTTGACAAACTTCGTAAACACCGGTTATATGTGAAGTTTTCCAAATGTGAGTTTTGGTTGAAGGAAGTTGCCTTCCTTGGCCATGTACTCTCTGAAGGGGGCGTCGCTGTAAACCCGAGCAACGTGCAAAATGTGCTCAATGGGAAGCAGCCCCAATCTGTCCCGGAGGTCCGGAGTTTCCTTGGTTTAGCCGGTTACTACCGTCGGTTCATCGAGAACTTCTCTAGAATTGCTAGGCCTATGACCCAACTTCTGAAAAAGGAGCAAAAATTTGAATGGTCAACGGCTTGTGAAGCAAGTTTCCAAGAGTTGAAAAGAAGGCTCACAACGGCCCCAGTGCTTGTGATGCCCGACACTCGCAAAGGCTTTGACATCTATTGCGACGCATCCCACCATGGTCTTGGGTGTGTGTTGATGCAAGATGGAAAAGTTGTGGCTTATGCCTCACGCCAACTACGGCCTCATGAAGTCAATTATCCAACTCATGACTTGGAATTGGCAGCCGTTGTTCATGCTTTAAAAATATGGCGCCACTATTTGATCGGTAATCAGTGTGAAATCTATACCGATCACAAGAGCTTAAAATATTTCTTCACTCAGCCAGATTTGAACCTCAGGCAAAGAAGATGGCTTGAGCTCATCAAGGACTATGATCTTGGCATTCACTATCATCCTGGCAAAGCAAATGTTGTTGCTGATGCTCTCAGCCGAAAACTCCATCATATCACTGCCTCCTTCTTAGTAAATCAACCGGAGTTACATGAAGAATTTCAAAAGCTCAACCTGGAAGTTGTTGAGGATGGTTTCATCGCAGCCTTAGCACTGCAACCAACTCTCCAGTCCCAGATCAAAGCTGCTCAGCTCACAGATAAGAGAGTAGCCAAAATCAAGACCCAAATAAAAGAAGGGTTAACTTCCAATTTCTCTCAAAGTCCCAATGGAATAATCTTGCATGGGAAGCAAATATATGTCCCTGATGATCTGCAAATAAGAGAGCTAATCCTCAAAGAAGCACATGAATCTCCACTGTCTATCCATCCTGGTTGCACCAAAATGTATCAAGATCTCCGTACCCGTTATTGGTGGCCTAGCATGAGGCGAGATATTGCCGCCTATGTTGCTATTTGCGATGTGTGTCAACGCATCAAGGCAGAACACCAACGACTAGCAGGGTTGCTCCAACCATTACAAGTTCCTGAGTGGAAGTTTGATGAAGTCGGGATGGACTTTATCACTGGCCTACCTAAGACTCCGCACGGGCATGACTCTATTTGGGTCATTGTTGACCGCTTGACTAAGGTAGCCCATTTCATTCCGGTACATATGACATATAATGGAGCCAAGCTTGCTGAGCTCTATATGACTCATATCATTCGTCTACATGGAGTACCAAAAGCCATAGTTTCAGACCGTGGCCCTCAATTCACTTCAAGGTTTTGGGAGAACTTACATGATCTCCTCGGAACTGAACTATTCTTCAGCACAGCCTTTCATCCTCAGACCGGTGGCCAAACCGAACGTACAAATCAAATATTGGAGGACATGCTTAGAGCTTGTGTGCTGACATATGGCACAAACTGGGAAAAGTGCTTGGCATTCGCTGAGTTTTCCTACAACAATAGCTACCAAGCAAGTCTACAAATGTCTCCTTTCGAAGCTCTCTATGGAAGAAAATGTAGAACTCCTCTGTTCTGGTCTGAAGTAGGCGAAAGACAGTTCTTTGGACCATCCATCATCAATGAAGCCCAACAAAATGTTGACCTAATCCGAAAACGGCTCAAGGAAGCACAGTCACGCCTAAAGAGTTATGCTGATCGTCGCCGCCGCGAACTAAGTTTCGAGGTGGGTGACTTTGTCTATCTCAAGGTTTCACCACTGCGGGGTACCCGCCGCTTTCAAGTACACGGCAAGTTGGCCCCTCGGTATATCGGCCCATACAAAATTCTCGCCCGAAGAGGAGAAGTAGCGTACCAGTTAGAACTGCCACCACAACTTTCAGACATGCATGACGTATTCCATGTCTCTCAACTCAAGAAATGCCTTAGAGTCCCCACCGAGCTCACTCCAGTTGAACACATCAACCTTCAACCAGATCTTTCTTACCAGGAATACCCAATCCGAATTCTCGAAGAAGCCGAGCGACATACCCGTAGCCGTTCAATAAAGATGCTTAAGGTTCAGTGGAGTAACCACACCCCAGAAGAGGCCACATGGGAACAAGAGGACCGCCTTAAAGCCGACTTCCCAAGTTTCTTCAGCTAGACCTAGCAAAATCTCGAGGACGAGATTTAATTTAGGGGGGGGGGTAGGTCTGTAACAAACCAAAATTTGTAGAAAAATGGAAATTCAATATAATGAAAAAATTTCATTTATATTATTGTGGTGATAATTTGTTTTAGGTGTTTTTGGATCTTCTATGCATCATTTCATTTTGCATATATAAATTAAATTAGAGAAAAAAAAGGGGTAATAAGATTAGTGATGAGAATAATAAACAACCAATTTAATTAGTTATAACTCAGCTTTTGCATCGCAATTAAAAAAGATGAAGGCAACCAAAATTAATTTAAATTGGAATAAAAGAAGGAAACTTGTTTGAATTTCAAAAATAACTGCACATGAGAAAAATCTCAAAAATTCACCAAATGGAGTTCACCACTACGATAACTTCCAGTGCTATTGGCGCATGCTTTTGAGCAGTGTAGCCATTCCAAAAAAAATTCGTCAAACCCTCAGCCCTCTCTAAAAAAAAATCCCTGGGAAGAAATGTTCCTCACCTCCCCTATTCCTGTACTTCTCTGATCAGTGGGCCCAAGCACCCTAGACCCCACCTGCCAGTGGCCCAGCACCCCATCCCTCTCTCCTCTTTCCCATCTCTTTCCTTGCAGACATTTCATCGAACACATAGGATGCGAGCCGAAAGTCGTCGCCCCCAAGCCGCCCATTCCTCCTCTGCCCGCAAATCTCGCTGCAAGACTGTGCAAAGCTGACGACGCCTCTGCCCCGCCTCTGCCCGATGCCCTGCCGCGCCCAACCGACGCCGCCCCTCTGCCCGGAACGACGAGACGCGACGAACCCGACCGTTGCTGCCTCCGTCTGGAAAGCCACTGACCTGCGTCTGCAAAGCAAACGCCCCTGCCTCCGTGTCTCCCGCCTGCAAAGCCGACCACCGCAGCCGCCGTGCCCAACCCGTAGCCGCCGCCCCCTGCCAAAGCCGACGCCCGAAGTGACAAGGCGAGACCGACCGCTCCTGGCTCCCACTGCCTGTCCCCTGCACCTCCCTCTGCAAAGCCGGTAAAGCCGACGCCGCGCTAGCCTTCCCTCTGCCCCGCTGACACCGTGTCATCCGCCGACCCCGTCTGTGCGCGCACGAGACGCCGAACGCGTCACGACAACCTCCGCGTCCGCCTCTCGCTCCTCCCTCGCCTATAAATCGAACCCTCGCGCCAGCTAACTCTCCACACCACTCTCAACCTCCACACCCAAAGCCGAAGACCAAAACCCTCTGATTCGCCGGGAACGCCCGCGCCATCGTCACGCCCCGCGTCGGCCGAACAGGGCGCGACCGCCAACCCGCACCCGTCAAGTCGCTGCCTCGGTGAGTCTCGAACCAAACCCTTGCGCCAACATGCTCCTGGGAACCCCATGAACCCATTTCCTCAAGTTAATTTAGGACCTCTTCGCCGGAGATCTGCCGCCACCATTGCCGTCGCCGACCGCCTAGGGAGCTAGTGGCCACGCCACCTCGGACCGCCTCCGCCCAAATAGAGCACGGGGTAAGCTTCCTCATAGTCCCAAGGTGCTCCTCCATCCTTTAATCGAGTCATCGTTCGCCGTACCACGCGAGCCGTCGCAGTCCCCAACCTACCGCCGACACCGGCCATGGCGCCCGCCGTCTCCAACCTCCCCGGGCCGCGCCGCCGCATCTAGGGTGAGCGCGAGGACCCCCTCTAGTCGCCCCTGCCTCTGCCCTAGCCAGCCCCGCCGCCGGTCGCCGCCGGCGAGACCATCCGGAGCCGCCCTCGCGCTCCCCTCTGTCTGGTGCGAACGGAGGAAGAAGACAGGACCTAAAAGTAAATAGTATAAACTCTAGGGTTCCTCATACAAAGAGCCAGTACACTTACAAGTGGGACCCAGGACTTATATATAAATAAAAGAAAGTATAGGGTTGGAGCTATAAATCTACGAGACACTTGCATGTGGACCCCATTGCTTTAAGTGGATGCGCACTACCGGAATACGTTTTCCGTGTAGGAAAGTGTACTCTAGACAGTACGCTTCAGCCTTTTGTAAAGAGAAAATAATAAATCTAAGAAAATGATTTCGGTTATTTGTTTATGCACTATAAAATGCTGAAACTTTGTAAAATCATAGAAAATTCATTTTAACTTCGATTGAGGTGAACCAAATTTTGTTAGATTCATAATAATGTTGTCTTTAATACTGTAAACTCAAAATTGTCACCACTGTTGTGAAAATTTTCACTAATTTAAATTTGAATAGTAAACTTCGTATTTACCGTACTTTAAATATTAGAAACACGATAACTTTGCACATACAACATCGGATTTAGGCGATTCTTTCTCCTAAATTTATATTAAATCGCTCTCTTTACACTAAACATGTTCATGCACCATACATCATATTTTATCTTGGAGTTTTATTGGATGTTCATTTGAATGTACGTTTAAATTTAATTAGAGGGCGATTCGATTGTTGCCGTTGGCGAAAGTGTGCAGGACCAAGAGTTATTTGAGGAACCAACTAAGCAAGGCAAGTCCTATTCAATTCCTCCTTCGATCATGTTGAATCCTATATTTTCGCAAGTGCTTTTCTATTTTATAAATTGCATGCGATGTTTTATAAAAAATGGGGTATTGGTAGAAATGACCTAATTGCTGCATTACCTACCTTGATATATTGATTATCATTACTGTTGAAGCCCTAGGCTGAGTATATATGTGTGCTGTACAAGCACATTGTGGGTATATTCGAGCTACTACTATAGCTACTTGCTTAGCCATGCTTAGAAAATTTCCGATGGTTATATATGACATGATAATCATTCTTTACAAATGGGATATTTTTACACAAGAGTTGTTCTGTTGTTTATGAAAATTGGAAACTGAAAATAATGATTTTAGACTTGGGCGGCAAGTGGTGTGCATATGGTGGTAGTTGCACACCGATAAGGGGAGTGTACGCCCGAGTCGATTAAGGACTGAACTATGTGTCACCAACTAAGATTACTGTGCAACCACATGTGTCGGTTATGGGGGCGACCTTGGCTTGTTAAGTTGTTTACTGTTTAGCCTTGCATTGGGAGGCCGTTGTAGTAGGGACTAGTCTGAGCGATGGTTCATAGGAGCTACCCATGTGACCCTCTATGGGAACGGTTGTGTTCGCCATATGGCATGGGCGTCTGAGCATATCCAATATAACGGATAGTGCCTCGTTGAGGGAACGGATGTGTTCGCCTCACGGCGTTAGGATTAGGATGGGGCCCACCTTTCCTGGCGGCATTGGTTCATGGCCAATGTGGAGAAACACTCTCCGTGCTCATGCAAGGCTAGACTTTAAGCAATGTAACAGCTTCGTAGAGTGTAGCCTTTTGGCTTCTATCACATCATGTGGGTAAAGTTGTACAAACTCTGCAGAGTCTAAAACTAATCGATTAGCCGTGCTCACGGTCATGAGCGACTTGGTGAAATGATACAAGTATAGTGTTGGTGATTTACTAAAATGGTTTGTGAAATGGGTAAGGTGAATAATGGTGATGATTTTGCCCGGTGTGGGCTGATAATAAAATGATTACTTGTTGCCGTGGGTGGCACAAGGTTGGTACTATGATGATACTTATATTGCTATTATTATGGCTTACTCTTTGATTTAAAAATCCCGTTTCTATCTATTATTATCTACTATTGTGAAACAAAATTTGCTTTAAGCTGAAAATGAGCCACAAATATAGCCATCCTTGATCTCAACTTGCAATAGTCCTAGATTTCCCAAGGTTTGGGTAGGACTTGCCAATACCTAGTGTATTGACCCACTTCTTGTTGTTTTTAGACTTGGATGCAGGATGTGAGGTGTCTAGTGACGATTACTTTGCACCGGGTACCGGAGTTTTTGAGGATGGTTCTTTCTAGGGTGATTCCTAGTCGGTTGCCTGTGTGGTTTGGTAGATGGGCATACCGAAGAACTTATGTATCTTTACCTTCTCCGCTGCGTTTAAACTCTTTTATTTGGCCGGTCGGCCTAACTACTATGTAAGACCTATGCACCGTTAAGTTATGAGAACCACTTATCTACTTATATATCAAGTATGTTGTATGGATGTGATAACAATGTTGTGGATGCGTGTACTAGCCACTGATCATGGGACTAGTACAGTGTACGCTCCAGGTATTCGGGAATTCAATCCCCGGGTGCCGACAAAAGATGACTCGCAAAATTATGAAATAGTAATAAAATCATGAGAATAATTATGTACAACAAGAGTACGGGCTATTTAAATAAAGCAAACGTTACTAATGGTACATAACGATGACGTGCAATTTAACATATATGTAGAGTTTAATAATATAACATAACATAACATAACATTACGTGTCGAAGTCCGACATACATCAGCATATCTAAAGACACTAGGTGCCTTAGTCTGACATTACATCACGAGACCTAAAGACATGACAAGCCGAAGTCTGACATTACACGACGAAACATAAACACATCGATAAGTTCGGAACAAATTACAAGCAAACCCACATGCCAACATAGAACGTAAGAACTACACCACGTAGCCAGACGTGGCACGACGACGCCTAGGACGTGGTCGAGTGGAGGTAGTGCCTTCACCCATAGGGCGAGCTCCATCTGCTGCTGATCCTGATAGTCCTGCCTCCGCCGCACTTGGTTTCTCCTTGTCTTTAGGACAATGCTTGTAGGTGTTCCCACGTTCATCGCATTTGCTGCAACACTTCACCCTGCCAGCCTCCGACTCGTCCATATCGTTGCGGATGCGACGAGTTCTCCTCCTTCCAGCTTTGCCTCGGAGCTTCGATGGGTCAGGAATATTGAGTACTTCATCGTTAGTCTCTGTGAACTCCCCAGCTATGCCGAACCCATAAATCTCGCCGCTCCATGTATGATATATTGCTTGCTTACTGAAGTACTGTGACACATATACTGCATCTGGTATGCCACACTCCGCTACGGCAGCAATGACATGGGTGCATGGCCTGTGGAGCAGCTTCGGCTTTGAACAAGAGCAATGACATGTGCCGTCGGCTTTGAGAACACACTCCTGCTTCACTCTCTTGCGGTAGATACCCCTGCCTGCCTTATCTTGACATAGTATCTCAAACCTGTGTTGTTGGGTACCTTGCACTAGAGCTCGATGTTTCATGGCCTTTTTACGCAACTCCTCTAGCTTTTTCTGCATGAAAGTTCCAAACAAAATGCTGTTGTTCGGCATAGAGGGAAGAACTGCCTGGAACCGATCCCTAAAATACCTGCATGTCCCATGTAAAATGAACTCCACTATGCCAACTAGTGGCAGTCCACGGACACCGCGCATCACCCAGTTGTAAACTTCTGCCAAATTTGTTGTCATTATTCCATATCTAGCACCACCTGTGTCATACGCCTTGGCCCATTTCTCTTTTGGTTCATGCAGAATCCACTGAGAAAATTTCCGAATCTCCAATCCAGTTCTTCTAACCAAAGTTGGACTATCCGTTGGGAGAGGTCCAAGAGCTTGAGGAGGGTCAGCAACGGCGGTCGATGGAGCCGCTGCACGCTGATCACTGCATTTGGCTGTCAACTCATCTAATCTCTTCCAAAGCTCATTGAATTTTTTCTCCTGGTTCTGATTGCACAGCCTCTTGAACATGTTCATGACCTCCTTGTTCTTGAATTGCTTGAAGAAATTAGCTCCCATATGACGCATGCACCACCTACTCTGTACATCGTCCCAAACACCAGGGTATCCTCGTTCCATGCTCCTAAATTGCAATTCTTCTATCGCTCGCAGAATGCCAGCGTGCCTATCATGTATCAGGCACACATTTGGCCTCATACCAACAACTTTTGTTTTAACCAATTTCAGGAACCAGTACCAGCTGTCGGTATTCTCACTCTCAACAAAAGCAAATGCCAAGGGCAATACCTGATTGTTCCCATCTACCCCTATTGCTGTCAATATCTGGCCCCGATACTTTCCTGTCAAGAATATCCCATCAATGCAGAGAACAGGACGACAGTTCACGAATGCCATCTTGCATGCATGTAGAGCTAAGAACGCCCTTTGCAGCACACTCTTGCCAGGATGTTCAATTGATGGGAATTTCTTCACTTCGTAAGAGCTCCCAGGGTTTCTTTCCTCGATAACACCAAGCAGGCGTGGCAAATTGTCATACGAGGCTTCGTAAGTTCCAAATCTCATCTCTATTATTTTCTGTTTGGCCCTCCAGGCCTTGGCATATCTAATAGTATACTTGTATGTCTCCTCGATGTGTCGGATTATTGACCTTGGTTCATATGTGAGATTATCGATGACATGCGCATACATCTCAGATGCAACAAATGCACATGTAATGTTCCTGTGGTATTTCTGAACACTAGGTAGAAAACATGTATGCTTGGTAACGACTGACACTGTCCAATAATCCTTCCATTTCCCCTTATACGCGTGCACTCTCCAGGGACAACCATCTTTTTCCTTAACACACCGAACTTCATATTGCGACCGGTTAGACTTGGCAACCCAAAACTCTCTATGAAGTGACACTGCAAAATGTTTTACCGCCTCCTTCATATCTTCTGCTCTACTATAAATCGCTCCCTGAATAACCTCATTTTCTTTGTACTCCCATCTCACACTATTCTCTTCAGAGACAATCAGCCCAGAAAAATCCTGACTAGCCCATTCTGCTGGATTAATATCCGTCTCCTCATCTGACGAATCACTTTCCTCTACACGCTCGTTGTCAGAATCCTCCCTCTCCATTTCATCCACAATGGCTGCGACAGTCTCCCCCTCGTCGGCCACTCCACCTAGTTGAATGCCCACTGGAGCTACTATGCCCCCGTCCTCTCCTGCGTTGACCTCCTCCACAGAAGTCTCATTTACTTCAGCACTTGGTCCCTCGCCATCATCCATGTTCATCTGCACACCTGGATCCTTCGGGTGCACAAACGGAACCAAAGCTAGAGGCCACTCGCGTTGCATTGCATTTTCCACATACCATCTCCACACTTGAGAGTTTTGAACTGGCATTAGTTCTCAATAAAAACCCTCAGTAGCCCGACTTACTATAACATTGATTGTTATGTCACTTGTCTGTGGATCAAGTCTCAAGCCCCTCATTAACCATCCTTTTATAGAAGGTACACTCCTCTCAGCCGGTCTATCAATTCCCCTTTCTGATACAATAAAATCTGACAGATCTACCCCAGTTGGCCCGTAACGGACGTTTCCTGGTCCATGGTAAACTTGGAATATTTGTTTGTTCGACATATCTGTCAACGAATTAACTAGATCATATTACTCTTTCATGCAATAAACATCTACAACGTAATATCTTCTTGTGTAAGCCAATGCAACGGTAAAGTATTGATTCCAAACTAGCAGATCTACGTAGTTACCGATATCTACAATACGCACTTCTAAATTAGTACAACTAAAACCATAAAAATATAATGCATTTATTCAAACAATTTTTTTAAAAATACACACTATTTAACTCAATAGTCACATATAGGATCTACGAATATT